GACTGTGGAGTGGGGACTGTCACAGGCCCAGTGTCACAGGGAAACCGGCCACGAGGGATCGGTGGGGGAGCGGCTGCTGGCCTGGGGCGGGAGCCTCACCTCGCGGATTCGGCCCGTGCTCACAGGAGAATCCAGTGGCATCTCTTTCGTTACTCCTACGATTGTACAAACAGACCTACAGGGATCATGGGGTGCAAAATGGCACTTAAAGATCACCGATGTGGACCGATGATCAGTGCCGGTCTGTCCCTCCGGGGCTCTGCCAAGGCCGTGGGCTCACAGCTGCTCCCCTCCCCCGGGACGGCAGGTCTGCCCGGGTTGAGCCCCGTCAGCGGATGGGCAGTCATTTGTTCAGCCATCGCTGACGTTGGGGTCCCCACGCAATTCCAGTCTCTCACTGAAGCAGTTCAAATCACACTGCACCCCACATCTTTAGGTGCCTGACTTTTCCTTGTGAACTTCTCCCCTTAGAGTAAATTCCCAAGTATTACTGAGCCTGGGCTTCCTAAGTCAGCATGATCTGTTTGGGTTTTGATGTGTAGACCAAAGGCATGCACTTAAGTAGATTATTTTTAAATCCTCACCTGAGGCTATGTTTTTATTGGTTTTAGAGAGAGAGGGAGAGGGAGAGAGGAGAGAGAGAAACATCAATGTGAGAGAAAAACATCGATTGGTTGCCTCCTATATGAGCCCCAACTAGGGATTGAACCCGCAACCTCGGACTGTGCCCTGACCAGGAATCAAACCTGCAACCTTTTGGTGTAAGGGATGACGCTCTAATCAACTGAACCACCCGGCAAGGGCGCGAGATAGATGCTTTTAAGGGCCAAGTAACCACAAATATCTGTTAATAAAACTGCTCGATTCTTCAGAATCAACTCTGTCTGACGCTCAGAATGGATTTGACTCTGGAGGTGGCCTCTGTCTCTGGTCAGGGGCTCTCCTTAGTGCTTGGTGAAATGAACAGGGGTCATTGCCAAGAAGGCCCTTGACAGTGGGCCGGTCTTCTGCCTGTCAGAGGGTATTTGATTTTAGTCGTCTGGAGCTGATGTCACGTTTCACCAGCAGTTTGTGACTCCTGTTATACAAATAGCAGGCCGAGTGGGGTGGAGGCAGGGAGCTGAGGCCAAAATCTCACCACCTAACAAATTTCCGTCTGCAGCCCGGAGGAGAAGGTCCCCTCCCGGCTCAGCTCCCAGGCTGTGAAACTGCCCTGTCCAGGGGGCCCATGATGGCTGATGGTGCAGCGCCGAGCCGGCAGGCTCCGCTCGGCCCGGTGCAGCTCCCAGGCTGTGAAACTGCCCTGTCCAGGGGGCCCATGATGGCTGATGGTGCAGCGCTGAGCCGGCAGGCTCCGCTCGGCCCGGCGCTGGGCAGCTGAGGACCACGGTCCACGGAGGGGCCGAGTGTGTCCGCGAGCATTCTCCCTGCATCCCCAGTGGGGTGTCAGACATCAGGAATGGACTCTGTCACGGTTCTGGTTCTGGTTCTGGATGCCAGAGTCCAATCAAGGCGCCGGCAGGGCGTGCTCCCTCTGAGGCTGTGGGGGGGTCCTTCCTGCCTCTCCCAGCTGCGGGTGGCTGTGGGTTTTCTTGGGTCTGCGGCTGTGGCTGCACCGCTCCAGTCTTGTCCCTCTCTTCCGGTGTCTCTCCTCCGTGTGTCCCTTATAAGGACACTTGTCACTGGATTTAGGGCCCATCCTAATCCAGGATGACCTAAGGTCAAGGAGATCTTTACCTTAATTACATCTGCAGAGACCCTTTCTCCAGTACGAGCACAGTCCCGGGTTCCGAGGAGGACTGTACGAACCTACCTTTTCAGGGAGCACCATTCTGTCCTCTCGAGTCATCCAAAGCCGAGCCCCGCTCCCTGGGACCCGCTACCCAGCCACAGCTCTGGCCCTGGCCCCCACTGCCCAGTTCCCGCCTCCTAAGCCTTCCGCTTGCTCTGGAATCTTGTCACCCAAAAGCTTTGCTTTCACGAGGGCAAGGAACTTGGAGGGGACCGGACGGGGCCCTGGGCCCGTGCGCTGGCTGGTCCCGGTGGGCACTGTGTCAGGCGGAGACGGAACCGGCTCAAGCCGAGTCTGGCGTGTAGTTCAAGCCGGGCAAACGCCCGCCTCCCGTGAGCTCCACGGAGGGTACGTGGCTCAGATCCCCATCTCTGGCTGTCTCCCAGCCACACCTGGTCCCAGCTTCCGCCTCCTCGTTTGTCTCCGTTCAGCAGCCCGGATGCTGGTTAAGCAGCGTCACTGTCGCAGCGAGGCCGTGCCCCTCTCGTGCTCACCCCGCTCACGCAGGCTGCTGTCCAGGTCTCAGGGCCGCAGCCTCCCAGCACTGAACTGTGCTTCCCCTCTGTCCCGGGCCAGCTCCGACGTTTGGTCAGTCAGTTACAGAAATGGAAAAACGGGCTTATCTGGAAGAGTAGAAAGAAGAAAACCAACATCACCTAGAATCGCACCATGCGGAGTCACTGCTGACATTTGGGAGGCGTGGCTGTCTGGCCCTCACCACGGTGTCCCTGGGGTGCAGGACCTGGTGTCTCGCACGTGCTTAAAAAATGGTGTGACCGAGGGAAAACGAACCAATACATGCATTTTAGAAAACCGAGATCGCAGATTACATTCGTGTTTGCCCCTCTCCACGCGTAGGACGTCCTCCTCTTGTGTGGTTTGCTGTCACGACTGTGACGCCATTGCTTCCTTGTCCCCTGTGGCTGGGCAGCGTGTTGACAGGAGCGACGTCCACGTGTTTGGACAGACTGGAGGTGTGGTTGGTGCATTCGTGGACGGGGGTGTTCAGGCCACGGGATGGCCCGGAGAGGAGGAGCCCTGTTTCTGGTGCCCTCTGAGGCTGCTGCCCAGCAGGGCGGCATGGGAGGTGCCCGGCGGAAGCCCCGCCCATTGCGGGGAACTCCTGCAGAGGCAGCTGGGAGGAGCAGGAAGGAGTTTGGGATCCGGCTCTAACTGTCCTTCAGAGCCAGTAGAGTCCGTGTGGACCTGAAGACAGAGGTACCTTGCTGAAACCCATCAGCCTTGTGGGTCACCCCGAACACCCTCGGGGCGTTGAGAAGCAGCTCCCTCTCCTGTTCAAGATGGTATAACTGGCCTCCCGGGTGGCCAATTTCTAGATGAGAAGGACGTCCTGGTGTCCCCAGGGCTGGCAGGTGACAGTCGACTTCAGTTCACAGCCATGGAGGATCCCCAGCTTGCTTGGGACACGTAGATGAGACCCTACCCCAGCTCCCTGCTGTGCCTCCCGGTCTGCCCACCAGCTCCTGGCGCCCACCCCACAAAGGAGCTCCGCAGAGGCCACTGGACCACGTGCCTGCGGTCATGGCCGGCTCCCCGTCGCATTGGACCTCTGAGGGGCTGCCCCTATCACCCCCTGCCTTCTGGGAGCGCGTAGCTTCCCCGGGTCTCCCCTTTCTCCTACCTGTCTTCTAGCTGATAGCGTCCTTGCTGATTTTGGCTTTTCTTGCGAAGGCTGGCTTTTCTCCATGCTGGGATAGCCTCTTCTCGCTCTGCATTTTCTCCCAAGGCGATCGAACCCCAGTGCGTCCTTACCCGCTGTGTGGCCTGAGGTAGCGTACTTAACCTCTCTGTGCCTCAGCTGTCTCACGTATAAAGTGGGCCCAGTAGCTAGACCTACCTCTACGGGTGCTATGAGGGTTATACGCTCCCAGCTCCCATCACAGTACATAAATAGGTGCTACATAACTGCCTTGTACCGCTGCTCAGTCATTTAGCGAGTGTTGATGGAGCAGCCCCTGTGTGCCGGGCTCTGTTCCAGGCACAGGGGACACAGTAAGGAACAGAACAGACCCAGGTCCTGCTTGTGGGAACTCACAGCCTAGGGTAAGGGAAACAGGCAAGAAATGAATAAGCACCTGGTTTGTCATCTGGAAGACAATATCGTGGCAGAGCTGGGGGGAGGGGACCAGAGATGGGCCCACAAAGGCAGTGCGTCCTGGGGCTGGGCCACTGTCGTGCTGGGGGCTGCGAGTCGGGGTTCAGGCCTGGGTCACCACTCCCAGCTGTGGACCGGGCCTGGTGAACAGTGCCCTCGTTTTGCCTAGGTGACCGCCATCAACCCTCAATCTCCCTGTGCCTCCGCTGGCTCCTCTGGGACACGGGCTCCTCGTGGGGAGGGCGTGCTGTCAGACGGAAGCTGATGTGTTTGGCGCATCGAGCATGTGGGCTCTTCCTCCAGCGCGTATTTTAGGGGCTTTGGCTCCGCCATCCCGTGGGCTCCAAGGGCAGCCTTACCAAAAGGAACGTCTTGGGGTCCCCAGGGGAATGTGAGTGCTGGAAGGGCACCCCGTTGCCCAGGCGACCAGCTTGGGCCTGGCCAGGCAGGGACAGACCTGGAGGGATGCGCTGCTTGCCTCTCACCTCCTCCAGGGGCACCTCTGTGGGGCCCAGAGCTAGTGGCTTGGGGTGCTCAGTGCTGTTAGCCTGGGGGGCTGGGGAGGGAAGCCCTAGCCTTTGTGAAGTCTAAAAGTTTTCAGGAGTGGTCCTCAGACCCTGCTCCGGAATCCCCTGGGTGTGCGGAAAGGACTCCCACATTCCCTGGCCCTACTGCACCCCGTGAGCGGGCTCTGCGCCCCTCCAGGACCTGCCTTTTTCACCAGCACCCGGGTGGCCGAGCTCACTGACATTTGCAGACCACGGTCTGTAAGGTGCTCAGAAGCTGTGGTCTCTGGTTCCCTGGGCTGGGCCCAGGACGCTGCCTTAACAAGCTCCCAGGTGGTTCTGATGCACCCCTAGTTTGGGAAGCGCCAGGTGAGTGCGCGGCTGGCGGGGCAGCCGCTCCACCAGCAGGTGCCTGGCCCGGGGGGAGGCCTCCTGCAAGTGTTGCTGCCTTGACGTTTGAGTGCCCCAGAGAAGGGCACGCCAGCCCCCCCCCCTGTGCTAACCGGCTTCCCCTCCCCCAGGACCCCGAGTGATGGTGGTTTACACGGAGGACCAGCTGAGCCCTGCGCGACTGGGTGGCCCGGCGGAGCTGGTGGCTGCGCCTGCTGGCTGGCGGGCGTGAACGTGGGCTCTCCGCGTCTAACCGAGAGGAAGCATGTCTAAGAAAGGCCGGGGCAAGGGCGAGAAGCCCGAGATGGAGACGGACGCTGTGCAGGTGGCCAACGAGGAGCTGCGGGCCAAGCTGACCAGCATTCAGATCGAGTTCCAGCAGGAGAAGAGCAAGGTGGGTGGCTGTGGGCTCCGTGGGCACGCTGCCTGGGGTATGTCTGAGGGCGCGCTCCCCGGTGGGGTGGGGGTGGGCACACCACCCGTCTGAGCCTCAGCTTACCCCTTGTTAAAACAGGTCTAACGTCAGTGGGGGTGCGAATCCCAGCCCCTCCGCACCTTCCTGACCTTGGGCCAGCTACACTCCCCTGCCGAACTTCCCTCACCTGCAAGGTGGGGTCGTGATAGTGCCCCTGGTGGGCCTTTGGGGGGTAGGAGGTGAAGGCGCATGGGGATGTTGGACGGGAGCCTGGCTCTGTGGCGGGGGCTCTTTGCTCTTGTGGTGGTTTGAGCTTTCGAGCAGGTCCTGCAGTGCTGGATGGGGTGCTGTGGGTGTCCCGCTGAAGGGCAGCCGTGGAGTGCGGGGGTGCTGTGGGTGTCCCGCTGAAGGGCAGCCGTGGGGTGCGGGGGTGCTGTGGGTGTCCCGCTGAAGGGCAGCCGTGGAGTGCGGGGGTGCTGTAGGTGATGGGCAGCCATGGGGTGCAGGGGTGCTGTAGGTGATGGGCAGCCGTGGGGTGCGGGGGTGCTGTAGGTGATGGGCAGCCGTGGGGTGCGGGGGTGCTGTAGGTGATGGGCAGCCGTGGGGTGCGGGGGTGCTGTAGGTGATGGGCAGCCGTGGGGTGCGGGGGTGTTGTAGGTGGTGGGCAGCCGTGGGGTGCGGGGGTGCTGTAGGTGGTGGGCGGGTGCTGTAGGTGGATGGCGGCCGTGGGGTGTGGGGGTGCTGTAGGTGGTGGGCGGCCGTGGGGTGTGGGGGTGCTGTAGGTGATGGGCGGCCGTGGGGTGTGGGGGTGCTGTAGGTGATGGGCAGCCGTGGGGTGCGGGGGTGTTGTAGGTGGTGGGCAGCCGTGGGGTGCGGGGGTGCTGTAGGTGGTGGGCAGCCTACCGCAGTGGGAGGAGCCCAGGCCTCCCAATCGCTGAGACCCGGCTCAGCCTCACCTTGGCTCCTGACTGGCTTCACGGCCTTGGACAAGTGACGTCAAGTCTCCAAACCTTCATTTTCTCATCTGTAACGTGGTGTCCTCAAGATCTGATGTAATGGGAACACCAAAGAGCCCTTTGGCCTCTGGTGCCCGGGCCCTGCCACAGCCCTTTGTGTTGGCATGGTTCTGACTTGGGCGGTTTGAGGGTAAAGCGGGTATAGGGGGGCGGCTCTGTGGGCCTGGATGGGGGCCGCTGTCCATGTGGGAAGGGATGGAGTTTGGGTTTGCTCCTGCATGGCCCGAGCAGAGGGTGCGGGCTGGTCGGGGAGGGGAGACCTTGCCCCAAGCCCTGAAGGTGTCCTCCGGCCCTGCCCGGGCACCTGGAGGTGCTGCGCGGGGGACTGCAGCGGGTGCCCCTCTTGTTAGGAGCCGGGACTTGGCCGCAGCTGGACTGCTGGCTGGGGCCCAGCTCCTGGGTCAGTGGGGCACTGAGTTTGGGCCCCAGCTGTGACCCAGGCTCAGGATACGCCATGGAAAGCAGAGGCAGAGTCCCTGACCTGGGGTGACGAGGAGCTTGGGCACAGATGTGCCCCCTCCCATCCTTGGACCCTGAGGACCTCAGGGTTAGCACAGCCAACCGCTTCCAGCAGGTAGCTGGTGGCACCCTCTGTCCACACCCTGCCCACAGGAGGGGTTCCCCTGCTTGCATCTCAGGGCTGGCAGTTTTGGGGGTGGGCCAGCAGAGGCTGACCAGGAAGTAGCAACAGCAGCTGCAGGTATGGGGGAAGCCACACAGCCACGGTCATTCGGCCCGGGTCCACTCCACCTCTGCCCCTAACTTTCCTTGAGGTCCTGGGACAAGCCATGTAATCGCCCCCTGCCTCCGTGTCCCCGTGTGTTCAGTGGAGACCTCTGATACGTCTTCCTCCCTGGGTGAAGAAGGGATGAAGGAGACAGTTGCACACGGGGCCTAGATGCCTCCTGTCACACATAGTGACTCAGTGGCTGGCTGACATTTGGCGTCTGCTGCCTGGGCTGTGCCCGGTGCCTCAGAGAGCCTCCTGACCCTTGCAGGGACCTGTGAGGTCAGGTGTGTTCTCCAGTTTATAAGAGCAAACGTGGGGTCGGAGAGGAGAGAGGATTTGCCAGGTGCATTACCTCGCTAGGGGGCGCTAACGAAGCACCGCAGGCCGGGGGACCTGAGCCGCAGTGGTGGAGGCTGGAAAGCAGAGAGCAAGGTGTGGGCAGGTCGGCTTCTTCCGAGGCCTCGCTCCTTGGTTAATGGACAGCCGTCTTCTGTCTGTGCCTTCCCATGGTCTGACCTCTGTGCCTGTCTGTGACCTAATCTTTTATAAGGACACTAGCCACATTGGATTAGGGCCTACTCCAAATGACCTCATGGAATTTAATGAGCTCTTTTAAGACTATTTCCAAGTATAGTCACGTTCTGAGATCCTGGGGGTTAGGACTTCCACATAGGCATCGGGCGTGGGGGGCACGTTGATCTGGATCTATGCCAGGCCCGCGACTGATCTGGCTACAGAGGCGAGTTGGGCCTGGTCCTTCCCTCCAGGGGCTGCTGGCCTTGGCAGGTGGGGTGGCGGGCTGGAGCTTGGGTGTGAGCTGCATGGTGATGGAGAGATGGTGGTGGGCGGCTCTTATAGACCCACTCAGCTCGACGGAGTGAGGGGCACTCTGTCACACCGGGAGGCCACCCCAGCCTTGCTCTGCTGCCGCTGGGTCATGGCACCTGGGCTTGGTCCTCGGCTCCTCTGGGTGGAGCCGGTGGGACCCACGAGGGCTTTCTCCCCCGGCCGCACCACTGTCAGCATGCCTGCCTACGCCTGAGTCACCTGGCCGCCCGACCTCTGCCAGGCTGCCTTGCACACACCTCTGCTCCCCGTCTCCACATCCCCGCCTCCTTTTCCCCCTGTGACCACACCTCCCTTTATCCACTCTGACTTTTATCCTTCCTCCTGCCCACCGTCCTTCCGGGGAGCTGTTGACGCCCGTTTCCCAGGAGAGGGGCAGGCAGCTGTGGGAGGCATAGTCAGGGTTCTTCGGAGAGAAACGGAACCAACAGGAGACTTTCTATACCGGGTGCCCCCAAAATGTATACACACTTTAACAGCTGATAGCTCAACTGATGTCCCTTCCTTTCCAGATTTAACCCATTGGAATGAATAATTACTCAAAGTGCATAGACATTTTTTGGGGACACCTTAGGTATAAATGCGCACACACACACACGCACGCACGCACGCCAGGGGAGAGAGAGGCATTTCTGTTCAGAAGTTGTCTCACACGACTGTGGAGGCCGACAGGTGTGAACTCTGCAGCACAGGTAGATGGAGATTCTCGCAAGAGCTGATGCGGCCGTCTTGAGTCCAGAGGCTGTCGGGAGGCTGGACTCCGTCCTCTCGGGGACCTCAGCCTTTTCCTTCTAGACCTCCACCTGACTGGGGGAGGGTGATCTGCCGTACTCGAGGTCCACTGACTTAAATGTGGATCGCATCTGAAAATACCTTCACAGCAACATCTAGACTGGTGTTTACCAAACACCTGGTATCACGGTCCTGCCAAATTGGTACGTCACATGGACCGCCTGGAGGTTCAGTAACTGGCCAAGGGAAACGCACTCACCCGAGCAGATCCGGGCTGCGCCCCGATCCCGTCCTCTGACTCCAAGTCACTGGCAACGTTAACCCAAAATCAGCACAGGATTGCCTCCTAGAGAGAATGCTGGAAGACTTGGTCCCTCACTGAGAAGTCATGTTTCTTATTTCACGTCCTGGCTCTCAGCCCCTTAGGGAGAGACTCTGGTTATAGCCCTCGGGGGAGGTGGGCCTGGGGTGCCCCTTATTGGGCTCTGAGATCCTGACTCTGCAATGTGAGGGGAGTTGATCTCTCTGCCTGGTTGGTTTTCTCTGCTTCTTTCCCTGCTGTTTGTTATAAGCAAGGACCTGTCAACACCCAGCTGACATAATGAAACTCCTCACCTGAACTGAATTTCAGCACGTGGGTGCGCTGCAGACAGCGTGGTCGGGGGAAAGGCTGCCGTTTTCCCCGGGAGCACTGTGTCCGTGAGAAACCATTTGTGCCTGTTCCTGGGAGACTGGTATTATTTAGAAAACAAATGGCTCGTCAAGGGCTCCTGGGGAATGTGCGGATTGTGTGATATTTGAAATGAAAAGGTCAAATAAAGCTTTCTGGAGCGTATTAAGAAAACACTCCCTTGGCACATTTTATGAATAGTGTTTTCAGTTGTTTGCTGATGGCACACCTACACTCAGGCGGGCTGGCAGCCCCACACCTGCGGAACACCAGCTCCAGGGCCAGGCGCCTGGGGTGAAGGCTGGCTTTGCCCCTGGCAGCCCCGCACCCAGGCAGGTCACCAAAGTGCCTCAGCTGCCTTGAGGCGAAACAGAGCATCCCCTCCGATCTGACCCCAGGTGGTGAGGGCCATGGGGGATGCACAGGAGCCCAAGCTTAGGTCCTGTAGCAGCGCCTCCTCTCCCCTCCTGCACCTCCTCTTCCCCCCCCCCCGACCCCCACCTCCACTTGCCTGGTCTTCCCTAGTTCCAGATTCCAGTGCATGGGCATTGCCAAAGGTATTTCTGGTTTAAAATTTGCTCAGCTTTGGTGAGAGGGATGATTTATGCGGGCAAGTTTTTGACTGATAAATTGTCCTTCCTTATACATCTCTGAACTTGAAGGGAAGTCAGAGGTCTGACGCTCCTCTCCAACATCTTCAGTTGTTTTCCCACCTCTAGGGAAAATCTCAAGGAAATGGTAGGAGAGACTCTGGATGGGGCTGATGAGGGTCAGGACCGTGCGGGTGGCAGAAGGGGGAATTGGAGTGTGGGGTCCCGAGAGGGTCTCAGGACCGGCAGGTACAAAGGTATGTGGGGAGGCACCCGCTGCGCGTGGCTGGCTCCCGGCCCTGACCCTGACCCAGCTCTCCGCTGCAGGAGGCCACCTGACCCTGACCCATCTCCGCTGCAGGTGGGCAAACTGCGCGAGCGGCTGCAGGAGGCCAAGCTGGAGCGGGAGCAGGAGCAGCGGCGGCACACGGCCTACATCTCGGCGCTCAGGGCCAAGCTGCACGAGGAGAAGACCAAGGAGCTGCAGGCGCTGCGCGAGGTGCTCATCCGGCAGCACGAGCAGGAGGCGGCGCGCATGGCCAAGATCAAGGAGGGCGAGCTGCAGCGGCTGCAGGCCACGCTGAACGTGCTGCGCGACGGCGCGGCCGACAAGGTCAAGACGGCGCTGCTGGCCGAGGCGCGCGAGGAGGCGCGCAAGAGCTTCGACGGCGAGCGCCTGCGGCTGCAGCAGGAGATCCTGGAGCTGAAGGCGGCGCGCAAGCAGGCGGAGGAGGCGCTCAGCAACTGCATGCAGGCCGACAAGACCAAGGCGGCCGACCTGCGCGCCGCCTACCAGGAGCACCAGGACGAGGTGCACCGCATCAAGCGCGAGTGCGAGCGCGACATCCGCCGGCTGGTACGTGCTGCCCTGGCCCCGCACACACGCACGCACGCCCCACCCCCTTTCCTCCCACAGCCGTATCCTCCCCTCCCGCATGAGTGCAGGGAGCTCGGGGTTTGGAGGACACGCTGCGCTCCAGGCGTCGTTCTGCTTCCAGCAGACGCCCTGCTGTCTTAGGGGTGCTGAGGAGGCTTTGAGTGGCAGGTCTCTTCCCACTAGGTGTGTGATCCTTGGCAGATCACCAAACTGCTCAGAAGTACACGTTTGTCACCTGTAAAACGACGTTAATAGATAGTGGGCTAGGTGGTTGTAAGAAAGGACTGTGGTCGTATATATGTATTCCTTTAATTAATAAACCAGGAGCAGACTTACACCTTGAGGTTAAGATGTGACCGGGAGGGACAGGCCAGCCATCCCTTTGCAACAACTACGAGAACGTAAATGGCAAACAATCCTATTTTTTAGAGACGAGAGCGTGGCAGCTGTGAGGTCTAGAACTAAAATTCAAAGGGAAGGGGAAGACCCTTCCCAGGTAAGCTGCCAGCTGCCGGCCCCTTTCTTCCCTGGGGGCATTTGCTGAGCCCGGGTGGGGGCTGGGGCCTCCCCAACCAGTGAGATTCCACTGGAGCTTAGAGGGGGGAGTAGGACTTTTTGGCATCTCTCACGTTTGGCATAAAAGACAGGAAACGGGAGGAGTCCTCGACCCGAGGATGGTCTGCACATCCTCGGGTGATGGGGGAGGCTGTGAGGCAGAGTGGTGTCCCCCGCGGCCTCACTACACTTGGGAGATAAAGCTCACCAGAGGGAGGGGACCTGCAACGAACACACCCCCATCTTCCCCTTGAGACGGTTGTCAGACTGTGGTGCAGGAGACCGAAAACCCAAGGAAGCTGTGATCCTCAGACTAGATCCAACCACCACGGCAGTGATGTTTACAAGAGATACGTCTAAACTAGGAGGACAGGCTGCACTTAAAGGGATGGAAAGGATACATGAACAGGAACCAAAAAAGTGCTGTTCTGGTGATACTAATGTCAAAGGCTTTAAGGGAAGAAGTAACACTAAGCACAAGTTGGGACAATTCTTACTAATAAAGGGATCAATTTGGTAGGAATGCACTTAACAACATAAGAGGACATGATCAAAACTTAAAGGAGAAATAGACCAACCCACAGTTGCAGTGGAGAATAGCACACCTGTCTCAGCCAGGGAAAGTACAGAGACTAAATGGATAAAGACACACAGCATTTCAGTGACACAAGCAACTTGCACTAAACCAACAGACTGCAGTGCTCCAGCGGCTGAGGAAGAAGGTTCTTTCCAAGGGGACGTGCCACTTACCAAAACAGTGCATTTCAAAGTGTGTGGGTTGTAATTCAATCATTCTTTAGATCAGACCTTCCTTTAGACAAAAAGAACGTGCTGAAAATCAAATATCTGAGCTTCCATCTTGGGAAGAAAGAGAGAGAGCAAATGAAACTCCAAAAAAGCAGAGTGAAGGAAATGATAAGGAGCAGGGATCACTGAGGTGAATCAATAAAGAAAACCAACACAGCCCAGCCAGTGTGGCTCAGTGGTTGAGTGTCCACCCGTGCACCAAGAGGTCGCCGGTCCAATTCCCGGTGAGGGCACATGCCCAGGTTGTGGGCCTGATCCCCAGTGAGGGGCAAGCAGGAGGCGGCCAATCGATGTTCTCTCTCATTGATGTTTCTATCTTTCTCTCCTCCCTTCCTCTCTCTGTAAAATCAATAAAGAAAAAAATTAAAAGAAAGAAAACCAACACATACAGAAGTTAATGAAAGCTGATAAGTTGATCAACCCATACCGAAACTGATGAAAAGGAGAAGACACTCCACATCTCCAATACAAGGCATGTAAAAGGGGAAATATCACGGCTCCTGCAGATGTAAAAAGGCATTGAGGGCACATTAAGATCAGCCTACGCCAATAGATTTGAAACTTGGATGAAATGGGCGTATTTCTTGAATAAGTACATCTTATCAAAACTGACACCATAAGAAATAGAAACTTGGAGTAGTCCTGTAGATATTAAAGAAATTAACTCTGCAATGAATAATTTTCCCACGAAGGACAGCTCGGACCCCGACCTTCCCAGATAAATTGTTCCGAGTATTTAAGGAAGAAATTGAACTAATTCTATATACACCCTTCCAGAAAACTGAGAAATCGGGTATGTATTCTAACTCAGTTTATGAAGCCAGCATAATTCTGATCTCAGTCCAGTGAGTGATATTCTAAGGAAAGAAGGCCTTTAGGTGATCTCTTACAGACACAGACACAGAGGTGTTAAGTGAGCCATTGACAAGTCAAACCCAGCATTCTACTGAGAGGCTTGTAAGTAATGACCAAGTAGGGTTTATTCTAGGAATACAAAGATTGGTTTAATATTCTAACATCAGTGAATATAATTCAATTAGTAATAGACCAAAGTGGGAAAACCATGTGATCCTCTTACTAGGTGTAGAAAAAGCATTTAATAAAACTCAACCTTGTGGTAGATACTCTCAGCACACTAGGAAGAGAATTGGAACTTCCCTAATCTGAAAGAGGGTTCTGTCAAAAAAAACCTAACCACCACATACTGATGAAATACTGAATATTCCCCTGAATTCAAGGACAAGACGTGATGTCAGCTGCCACCACTGCAGTGCTGTGACCGCTCTGGCGAGGACCTCGGACACACGAGGCAGTAACAAACAGCTTTCAATGCTGACGGGAAGGAAAGCTGTCTTACGTCACAAATGCTGGGATTAGAACGTGGAAACTCCAGGAGACTCTGTGGCCACTTGAATTAGTGACTTTTACAAGGTCTCCAGATAGAAGGCAGATGCACAAAAATGAATTCTGTTTCTAGCCATGGCTCGCGAAGGAATAATGGCTGTTGTTGTAAGGCCCCGAGCCCGGTCATCTGTGGCAGCCCTCGGAAAGTAGCGGGCTGCTCCGGGTTTGTCAGGGCGGCGCTCGGAGGGCTGCCCTTCCCAGCCCCTTGCCGCAGGCGGGGCCCAGCGAGTCCGTTCTGGGCACAGAGGTGGATGCATTTGGACCTTCAAAAAGAAAAGTTATTTTTCTCATCCTCACCTGAGGATATTTTTGATTTTCAGATAGAGTGGGAGGGAGGGAGAGAGTGAAGAGAGAGAGAGAGACATCGATGTGAGAGGGACATATCGACTGGTTGCCTCCCGCATGACCCCAACCAGGGCCAGGGACTGAACCACAACCAAAGTCCGTGCCCTTGAGCAGAATCGAACCTGTGACTCTTTGGTCCATGGGCTGACACGCTAATCGCTGAGCCGAACTGGCCCAGGCAGAAAAAGAAAAGTTCTTAAATGAAGACCCCACGCCCTTCCTTCTTTACCATCTTCATCGCCGACCCGGGATGAAGCTGTGATGGCTGGCACTCCATGGGCATGAGGAGCCATGAGGATCACAACTGCCTCCCAGAGCCCCTTCTGAGGGGAAAGCTGGGCGGCGCCTGTGGCCCTCACTGCTCTGGGAGCCTACAGCGACCTTTCCCAGAAGTCACTCCCACGTGGTAGCCCCCGTGTACCGTGGGGGTCATGGCTCCGTGGTCTAAGGAATGAGCCCAGAAACGGCAGTGCTGCTGCCCCGGTAGCCCGTGACGGCCCTCTCCGCGTGACCGGTTTTGAGGGGCACGCTAACTGGGAGCCGGGGTCTGAAAGCCTCCCGCAGTCACTGCTGAGGCCATCAGCTGACAAGGAGCCAGCCGCCCGCCTCCAGCGCCCGTTGCCATGAGCAACAGGCTGCCTGAGGAGTGACATTCAGCTGCGGGATAATAGGAGAAATGGACGTTTGTTCCTTCCACTCTGTTCTCCGAAGGGGGCCGCTGCAGGTGCAAACCACACACACTGAGAAGACCTGAGACGGGGACATTTCTGTTCGGTGCTGACACGGAAACGGGTCCTTGGTACGTTCTCAGTTAAGCTCAGTCTCTTATGCAAATGGTTGGTTTTCCCCACTGCATTTTCCCGTAACCGAGGGACGACATTTTACAGGTCTAGTCCGGACACTCCCAGCTGCTGCCAGAGGCCTGAGTTTACGTAACTCTGGAACCCCGGGAAAGCCACGTGAGGGCTGAAGTCCGCCGTCAAGGTGTGGGCAGGGCTGGGCTGGGCTCCCTCTGGAGGCTGCGTGGAGGAACCTTCCTGCCTCTTCCAGCTCCCGGTGGTGGCCGGGAGCCCTCAGCTTCAGGCTCCTGTCTGCCTCCACGGGGCCGGCTCCTCCCCTGTGTCTGTGCCCTGCCCTCTCCTTATAAGGACATTGGTCCGTGGATCTGGGACCCACCCTCATCTGGTGTGACCTTAGCTTATATCTTAGTTACATTGGCCAAGACCCTATTTCCAAATGAGGTCACCTCTTGACTCTCCTGTAGACATGAAATGTGGGGGATACCATTTACGGGCTACAGGTACCAAGGAGGAGAGTGAGGATGGATGTTGGGGTGGCAGCCTCCACTTCATCCTCTGACTCCCCGGACTTTGCGGCGGAGAGGAGCTCACAGGATTATGCACAGATCAGCCGGTGTGTTTGGAGCCAGCTGAGCTGAGCCTTCCCTGGGAGGGGTGTCCTGCCGGATGTGATGGTAGAGAAGGGACTCATTCTGTGCCTGTGGGGCAGACAGGAGGGCACAGTGAAGGCTTTGCAGAGGCCGACCCGAGACTGAATCATGGTTGTGCTGCTCACTGCAGCGTGGCTCCTCTCTGGGCCTCCAGCTTGTTGTAAACTGGGGTAAACGATGTCTACTTTGAGGGTCTTTGAAGACAGAGAGTGTGTCTTAAGCGCAGAGGCACTGAGCTCACACTGGCATGCACGAAAGACATGCTGGCATCGTCCAGTGCATGTCCTTGCTCTAACTCTGTATCCATTAGGATCTTTTTGGTGCCAGTGAAAATATTCCACCTCAGACCAGCCTGAATCGTGAGAGTGTCAGTTGTCACACTGAGGTGGTAGGGTTAGCGTCGGGCCCAGTTCCCATGGCACCTACGATCCAGGTGTCTGGGCTGTGTTCTGCTCCTTGCTCTGGGCAGTCACGCCACACCCCGTGTCCTCACTCAGCACAGTCCAGGGACAGGGAGAGATGCCCTCTTCAGGCTGTTGACTCTGATTGGGTCACACATCTATCCCTGAACCAATTCTGTCAGGGGATGAGGATAGATGGTGGTATGAGCCAATCAGAGCCTGCCCTGGGAACTTGGGCTGGTTTCAGTCCCACCCCTCTCCTATACCACATGCTGAGACTGGGAGTGTGGGAGAAGGGAAATGGATACAGCCAGGCAACTGGGGAGCGTCTGCACCCTTGTGATGTTCGGGGAAGACAGTGTCAGAGACTCTCGCTTCACTGGGGTCCTGAGGGCGGGGGACAGGATCTCTCAGAGCCCAGGCTGACAGCCAGACACCCAGTTAACAGATAGAGTGATTGCTGCTAGCGGTGAGCTCGGCCGGTCCGGGACCTCCAGACTCCTCCTTGCCTGTCTATTCACAGACGTCCCCTCCACTAGTGGGGGCTGTTCACTAGGAGCCTGTTCCGTGTGGTGGCGTGTGAACCCTCTGCTCACTTATTAGAAGTGGGTAATAATTTGTGCTCTTCTAGGTTGAAAATCTGGGGCTCTGGAGATAATGTGCTTGGGGTGCTTTTTGTGGGAGGGGCTAGGGTAACAGTAGGGGGGCTGCACTTCTGGGCTCCCCTGCAAAGAGGGAAGTGTGCAACCCGGATGCCGAGGGGGGCAGCTTGGAACCCTACCTGTTAACTTGCAACACTGCCCATTTGGTACCGCTGACCCCCCTGCCTTATTCTTCCTCCTGGCACTGGTCACTCTCTGATCTGCTGCAGTGTTGACTTACTGGTTATGTTTTTGGCTACCTACCCCTCTGGAATGGCAGATCCAGGGGAAGGCACTCTGATCTGTTTTGCTCAGATGTCTCCCAGCTCAGCGCCCGTTGAATTAATGGAAGCACATTTGTGTGTTTAAAATAATGATCTCCTCTCACGGAGCCCTTGTTGCTTCCAGTGGCAGCTGCCGTGGCAGCATGTTTTCCACGTGGTATGAAGTCTTCCCTGCGGCGGGGAAAGTGTTCCTAGCCAAGCCCTGGGCGTTGGCCAAAGCGCGGAGCTGCTGGTGGATGGTCACCAGGGGGCGCAGTGGGCACATTCCGCTGCTGCTGAAGGAGAAACTGCACCAGGCACACCCTTGGCCGTGGTCCAGGAGATGGTCATGGGGAACCTGGGGATGTGGAGGGAAGGGGGACATCCGTTTCTCTTCCAAGGAAAGTCCACTCAAGGAGTTTGTCAGAACAGTCGACTGTTCGAAAGCTTCCAGTCTGGATTTTGGGGGTACCATTTCTCTCCTATCATCTCAATTACATTTGACCAGTTTTTGATGGTCTGATGTTTAAATGAGATAGCCTTCTGTTACCCAGGAGCCAAAAGAGAGTAATCGTGGTGACATTGATCGCATTGTACTGCGCCAGGCTCCGTGCTGAATTCTTTCCGTGGCTGGTGTAAATCTCCCTGGACAGACTGCGTGGGTTCGAGAGTGTCGCTGAGGCTGAGGCTGAGTCAGGGAGGCGGCTTGACCTGCCCGCGATTCCACAGCAGGGACGGTTGGGGGTTGAAGCCTGCGTCTGTCTGGGCCAGCTCAGGCGGGACTCTTAACCAGGATTTCGTGCTGTGTCTGAGTTCGTGGTGTAGGGTTCGAAGTGAGAGTTTCAGATCACAGGCAGCTTGACTTTCTCACACTCAGTGAGTCGAGAGGACTCCCTTAAATGGCCACGGGCTTCGTGGCATAAGACAACAGACACTTATTCTCTCCCAGTTCTGGGAGCCAGCTGTCCAAAGTCAAGGTGTCAGCAGGGCCGTGGAGGGTCCTTCCTGCCTCTTCCAGCTCCTGGTGGCTGCTGGCCCGTCTTGGCCTCCCCAGGTTGTGGCCGCATCACTCCCGTCTCTGCCTCGTCTTCACATGGCCTCGGGCTGGGCGTCTGTGTGTGTTTTGGTAAGGACACCGATCACAAGGGCCCAGCTGACCAGTGTGGCCACATCTTAACTCATTATACAGTGATACCTCGGTTCTCGAACGCCTCGGATTTCGACCAAATCGGTATTCGACCAGGAGATTCGAGAAACTTTTGTCTTGGAATCCGAACAAATATTTGGAACTCGAACTTCCGAGATGAGCCGAGTTGAGCCGAATGGCGTTCATTCGGCCCAGCGAGCCTTGCTTGCGTCTTCAGTGTGAGTGCAGAGAGAGAGTCACGCTTTGTGGAGTCACGCTTTCTTATTGGGTTTCATTGCTTCGGTTCTCGACCGTCCTCCTGGAACGAATTATGTTCGAGAACCGAGGTATCACTGTATTTGCAACAACCCTATTTCCGAATGAGCCACGATCTCGGGTTCTAGGAAGGACCTAGATGGGGGGTTAGGGGCGACAACACCCCAGGACGGCGCCCCTCCTGGGGCCGTTTGCCTGCTGTTGGCTCTGTGTCCAGAGCAGGTGGGATGAAGTCTACGGCCCGGGCCAGAGCTGCTCCCTACCCGGTCCCCCAGGGGGCGCCGCCCCAGACTGGGCAGGGCGGCCTGGGCTTACACTGAGGTTGGCGTGTGGACATGGCCAGGTCCTCGGAAACACCAAGCCACCAGCTGGCCCTGAGGGAGTCAGGGCTGGGGAGAGTGGGGAGTCAGCTGTGAGGAAGGACTTTCTGGGTGGGGCAGCTGCCTGGGGAAAGGACAGAGGGGAATAGGGTCAGGCCCTGGGAACTGCAGAGTTGAGTGCGGCCAGGGCAGGGTGAGTCTGTAAAGAAGATGGGAGCTGAGCGTCAGCGCAGAGGGCGGGGAGGCGGGAGAGGGTCATGATGCAGGGGGCGGTGACACTGTCATGCTGAGGATGGGAGGACAGAAACCTGTCCGATGGGCTGGGGGGCCAGGAGATCATTGGAGACTTAGCAAGAGCTATTTTGGTGGTGGGTGGGGGCTGTGCCCAGAAGGAGAGGCTGGGGGGGGGGAGAGTCGGAGACCAGGAGAGCAGCCCACTCTGAGGGTGCAGGGCGGCTGGAGGGGCCGGAGGACCAGGGCTTTATTCCCTTAGGTGAACGAGACATGGGCATAGATAAATTAGCCTGTGGCTGACTGTGTACATCCTTGAACCCAAAGCTGTCTGCTCCTCTGAGCTCAGGGAAGCAGCACCTGGGTCGTGGACTACGTCTCTCTGTCCTGAGTGGCCGAGTTCAGCTTACCTGGGTCCTGGAGCTGCTTAACCTCCCCCGGGGCCTGTGGTCGGCAGAGGAGAGGTTTCCCCAGGCACGAGCCCCCGGGACTGATGGCTTCTTTCTCGTTCTCAGATGGACGAGATCAAAGGGAAAGACCGTGTGATTCTGGCCTTGGAGAAGGAGCTTGGTGTGCAGACTGGTCAGACCCAGAAGCTGCTGCTTCAGAAGGAGGCTTTGGACGAGCAGCTGGTTCAGGTCAAAGAGGCCGAGCGGTACCACGGCAGTCCAAAGAGGGAGCCTGGTGCAGGCGACGTGGCGGAGCTCCCGGGTGTGCAGGTGAGCGCCCTGGCAAGCCTGGGCCCCAGAGCGGCCCCGCCGTCCGTCCTGCTCCTGGTCATTCTTCCAGTCAGCGTGCCTGCCTTCCTCCCCCTCCTCCCTCCCTGGCATCCATCTGTCCGTCCGTCCTTCCCTGTCTCAGCCCCTGCTCTCCGAGTTGCCGGCGCTCCCTGGGTGCTGGGTGCTGGGACTGTGGAGCTGGACAGCCGGTGGCTCTGGCCTCCGGGCGAGAGGAAAGGCACGCGAGCACCGTGCAGGGGGTGCAGTGGGAACAGAAAGGAGCCCAGGGGGCCGGGCCTGATGGGGGGCGCTCAGCCAGCAGCCGGTACCCCACAGGCCCCGGGCAGGCGGATGAAGGGACTCATTCGTTCCTTCGTTCACTCCGTGTTTCCGTGTCTCCTGGGTGTTACGTGCAGACCTCACGAGCGAGGTGGACACGGCGCCTGCCCTCGAGGGGTATGCTAGCGTGGCGGGCGGGGGCTCGGCGTGAAGGTCCCCAGGGTCACTTTCAGGTGTGTGGGGGCCATGGGTGGGCTTGAAGTCTCGTTACCTTTGAAATGAAGTCTTTCTCCAAGTGGCCGGCAGGGCTTGAGGGGCTGCCCATGTTGCTGGACTTCTGTGGCCCCAGCGTGGCCTCTGGTCCCAGGGAGGAGCTGACACCGAGCTCGGCTGTGAGCCCTCCGGGCATGTCCATGGGGCGCGCCGACCCAGCCATGCCCCTCACCGCGCTCCCGTGTCCTGACTGTTACAGGATCAACATATGGACGAGCGAGATGTGAGGCGGTTTCAACTAAAAATCGCCGAACTGAACTCGGTGATACGGAAACTGGAAGACAGAAACACCCTGCTGGCCGACGAGAGGAACGAGCTGGTAACCGGCCCGAGACGGGGTCCTGGGGGCACAGCGAAAGGGGGCCTCTCGCTTTCTTCACTTTCTCATTTTTTTTCTGATGAAAACCCAGCACGTGCTCATTGAGGAAGTCTGTTCCTGCCCTTGGTTTCCGTAGAAATTGATCTCTGGGAGCAGTCGGAGCAGTTTAGGGAGAAGTGTGGGGAGGGTGCTCCCTGGGGTGGTGGTAACAGCACCGGGAACGACACGAAATGCCTCGCTGCTCAGTCCTCAAGTGCTGCTCTGAGCGACCAGGGAACACCTGTACAATGGCCCTGTGCAGTCATCAAGAACGATGGTGTCATGCTTCATTGCCATGGAAATCGGTTCACAGGAGATTAAATGATAAGAGCAGTTTCTAGAACAAAAATGCGTTGTCAACAGGGTATTGGAGATTGTTTTAGGTGGTGCGAATATGGATTTTTATTTTTTGCTTATCTATTTACTTTCTTTGGCATCAAAGCTGACCTATTTCTAATTTTAAAAATAATGAGCATAGGTTTCTGGTTAAAGAATACATCGCTAGGAAAAATAGCAATTTCTTGAATATCTTTACATTTGCTGGATAAACAGCTAACCTGATTTTTCTGTAATGTAGTCAGTATACAAACTTCTTGACAAATACCTCATAATATTTCTGTGTATTTTAACTTTTACTATGAAAACAAATGTATCTATAATATTTGAAAAGCATGGGAGATGTAAAGTGTTAATAAGTGTCAGGATGAAAAGAAATACATCTCCTTCCGGTATTTTTAAAGGCACATTTTTGTATAACTACGATGAGACTATATCTTATGTCTCCATCTAAGTATTCGTGAGCTGCTGCTTACTTAAGAGGATTAGAAATAAATACAGGCTGCTCGAAACGACTCGGACAACACCGAATGGAGTGTTTAAACGTTGGTCAGCTAGCCAGTGCCTCCGTCTTAAAATCATGAGGTCACGACTCTCCGCCGTCTGAGGTTGTTCTTCCAAGGTTTTAATGCTTATGTTAGCATATCAGCACCACCAAGAGAAGTCGGTTTTGTTTGTAATTAGAAAATGGGACCTTCCCCTCGCCTCATTTTGTTCTGCAATTTGCTGATTTCACTTAACTGACAGTCCCAGCACTACCCACAATGCAGGAAGAGCTGTCTCTGTCTTTTTTTTTTTTTTTAATTTTTTTTCTTTATCCTCACCCGAAGACATTTTTGCATTTATCTTCAGATAGAGCAGGAGGGATAGAGGGGGGAAGAGAGAGAGAGACACACACACATCATCATGAGAGAGACACATCGACTGGTTGCCATCCACATGACCCCAACCGGGGCCGGGACCAAACTGCAACCGAGGTATGTGCCCTTAGTGGGAAACAAACTTGGGCCTCTCTGGTCCATGGGCTGATGCTCTAACTGCTGAGCCAAACTGGCCAGGGCTGTCTCTGTCTTTTTCATGGCTGTGTTGTACTCCTCCGTATGGACATACCATAGCTTACTCAGCCACCTCTCTGCCGGCAGAAACTCAGATGGCTTCAGGTTTCTTTGTGGTTATAAATAATGCCACATAGAAGATAACATTTCTCTCTTCACTCACTTGAACCTTAATACTGTGGGATAGCTTTCTAGAATTAGAATGTGTGGGTCAAAGCTACACTTTACGTTTTAAGAGACACCAGAGGAATATTGTGTCTTAACTTTCATGGCCTGGTGACTAAAAGCAGGCATTTGAAGTCAGTCCCTGTGTTCAGTTTTTGGTTCTAGCATGTTCTGTGTGACCTTGAGCACAGCGCCCCCCTCCTTGGGGTTAGGTTCTTTGTCGACGGCATGGGCACAGGGATGGGCCCCCTCCTAGGTCTGTGGGGAGGGTTGAATGAGAGAGGCCTGGAAGGGCTTACCACTGTTTTGGACACACGGCGAATTTCCCGTTATGGATGAGGAACCTGAGGCCGAGAACTTGGCCTTGGTCATGCAGCTGGAAAATGAATGCGGCAGTGAGGGCACTGCTCCGAAGGAAAGGAAATTGCACCTCTGATTGCGCAGGCTCCCCAGTCCCTGCTCCCCGTCCCCCCAACGCTGTCATTTCTCAAGTCTGTGTCTCACTAGACTGGCCTCCACGCAGCCGTCAGAGAGACTGATTGTTCTAGAAGGGCTGGGAGGGAACCCAAACAATGGCCGTCCAGCTCCCTGCCCCCCCCCATGGCACCGAGTGAAGCTGCGTGGGTGAGCTGTGTTCTCGGCGGACCTGACCCTCTGGGCCTGCGGTTCCCGCCTGGAGTGCCCTCCACCTGTGTCACTGCCTTTGCCCTCTTCCCCCTCTGTGGGGCACCTCTGCCATGTCATCTCCAGCACAGGGCACCCCACCAACAGGGACCTGGGGAGCCTGCCAGGCTGGATGCCCCCTCATTGATCTCCATCCCCCAGAGCTGAGCCTGGCACCCAGGGACCCAGGGCTTGTTGTCAGAAGAGAGAGGAGCTTCCTTAGGTCTGTACTTGGGGAGGTAGCTGGATTGACCTTTATGCATGTAACCCGTGACCTCTAGAGGTATAGACTAGTGGACACAGCGCAGGCCACTGGCCAGCAGGGTGCCCGGGGGCAGATCTGGGCCCCTCCCCGAGTTCGGCTCCTCGCCTCATCCAGGCTCTGTGAGGCTCAGGTGCGTCCTGGGTTTGGAAGCCGCGTGTCCGCAGGCCCTTCCTGGTGCTTGCGGTGCTCAGAAGCGTGGTCCTGACAGTGGCAGCTCCAGTCCCCAGACGGCCCGGTCGGATCCCGCTGGCCTCCGGGGCGGTGTGACATCAGCCACTCATTGCCTCTCACAGCCGCCGGCCTCTCTTTCTGACTGTAGCTGAAACGCTCCCGGGAGACTGAGGTCCAGCTGAAGCCCCTCGTGGAGAAGAACAAGAGGATGAACAAGAAGAACGAAGACTTGCTGCAGAGCATCCAGAGGATGGAGGAGAAGATCAAGAAGCTCACGCGGGAAAACGTGGAAATGGTAAGTCACCGGCCACGGGGGACCCGCCCCCGAGCCGCTCGGGCACAGTCTCCCCAGGAAGCCCCGGAGCGGTCTCAGCCCCAGCCGGCCCTCTGCTGTCACTGGCCCGGGAGTCACGGAGCTGGGTGTCTCGGGAGAGCGCCAGGTGGTCGGACCGCCGGGCTGGGCCTTGGTCCTGAGAACTCCCGCCCTGCTCCCTTAGACCAGCGGTTCTCAACCTTCCTGATGCCGCGGCCCTTTAGTACAGCTCCGCATGTTGTGGTGACCCCCAACCATACAATTATTTTTCTTGCTACCTCATAACTGTAATTTTGCTACTGTTATGTCTTAGGCGGCCCCTGTCAAAGGGTCATTCGGCCCCCCAAAGGGGTTGTGACCCCCAGGTTGAGAACCGCTGCCTTAGACGCATCTCTCATTCTCTCTGCACCTCAGTCTCTTCATCCATAAATTGGGAACAAAATACCAGTGTTGCGGGGTCGTGGCGAGGCTGGAATGCGTGCAGAAGCGCTCCCCAGAACCGCGCACTGGGCAAGCTCAGTGTCGAAACGATGACAGTCTTGCTCCAAGTGCTCTGTGTGAGGGATGTTCATGTCCCAACGAGGACGGCTGGTCTCTGTGGTCGGGTGGTGTCTTGGTGTGGATGGTTCAGAGAATACTGTGAGGCTCGTCCAAAGTAGTGTCGGTCACCCCCATTTTACAGCTGAGAAAACTGAGGCTCAGAGGCGAACGCCCTTCTCCCTGGACCCTCGCAGGTCCGGGTGCGAGTGTGTAATTCCAGTGTGTGCGGTGCTTCCTCCCAGCTTCCTTGTCCAGCATTCAAGGCGGGCTTGGACGTCCACCCCAACTACTGCCTGCCCAGCCCTCCCCTGGTGGTGGGCACCAGCACCTTGCCTGGGGCTTGGTTCTCATGCAGCTTGGGGACCCGGGGGGCCATCCTCCCTCCACCCATCCCCCCATCCCATACCCCAGAGTCCACACTGTGCCCGATGCGCACAGTGGGTCCTTCACGCACATGGTGGCCGAGCGGTCCTGCAGCGCTCTCTCCCCCTGGCTGCAGAAAGAAAAGCTGTCTGCACAGGCATCTCTGAAGCGCCACACGTCCCTGAACGACCTCAGCCTGACGAGGGACGAGCAGGAGATCGAGTTCCTGCGGTTGCAAGTGCTGGAGCAGCAGCACGTCATCGACGACCTCTCCCTGGTACGTCTGCTCCGCGCCGGCCCTCCGTGGGACACCGGGGGACACGGTGTCGGGCCTGGCGTCGGGCTTCGGGGCCGCGCGGCCCAGTCAGCGGGTCTCTCCCGCTCATCCTGGTCACCGGTTCCTTCCTGCTCCGTTCTGCCGGAAAGCGGCCTCCACTGGGTTTGCACAGCATCGCGGGTGCCTGGGAGCCGTTTCCATGGCTACTCTTTTTCTCACATCAGCTCCCTGGTTTGCTGCCATAGGAAGCAGCATCTTTTTAAAGAATGAGTCCTCTGGCCTTTACGGAGTGGGCATGTGCTAGCCCTGGGAAGTCTGATTTATTTATTTTGTTCCTTTTAAGCTTAGTTGTGGCAGCCAGGAGCTGGAAAACCCAAACCTTGCAGTCAGCCCAGAATTCGAAGGGCTTGCTAAGACTGTGGGTGTGAGATTGGGGGGAGGGGTGGATCCAGAGAGTTCTTCCGCTCTCCCTGGTGCGTCTCAGGCACCAGTGACGAGAGGCCTCTGCAGGGAGCTGTGGTTGGAGCTTAGAAGCAGAGTGTGTTCTGCTTGCCCAAGAGGGCGTGTGACGGTTCCGTTCACGGTCTTCAGAGAGTAGGAGAGCCAGTGATCAAAATTCTGGAAAAGAATTTGACTGTGATTGTCAAGTTCACGTTGCTTCCCCATAACTCCTCCCTCCGTCCCCCTTCCTCCCTCCGTCCCCCCTTCCTCCCTCCGTCCCCCCTTCCTCCCTCCGCCCCCCTTCCTCCCTCCGCCCCCCCTCCCTCCCTCCGCCCCCCCTCCCTCCCTCCGTCCTCCCTCCCTCCCTCCGCCCCCTCCCTCCCTCCGTCCCCCCTCCCTCCCTCCGTCCCCCCTCCCTCCCTCCGACCCCCCTCCCTCCCTCCGACCCCCCTCCCTCCCTCCGTCCCCCCTCCCTCCCTCCCACCCACCCACTCCTCCGTTCCCTTTCCCACTGTCCATTCACCCACCCTCCCATCTTCCCATCCCCCCTCTCCCTTCCATTTCTCTTTGTATCCATTTCTCTCTCCATCCCTCCCTTTCTCCAATCCCCCTCCATCTCTCCTTCCCACCTCCCCCACTTCCTTCCTTCCATCCATCCATCCATCCATCCATTTCCCTCCTTCCATCATCCGTCCATCTTTGCTACACAAAAGACTTGATGCAACGTAAGATGAACAAAGCGCATCCGTTGACATGACGACAAGCGGGAAGAGGACTGGCAAACACGACAGTGAGAGAGTGGAGTCAGGATCAGGAGGGACAGGTGGGACCGCAAGGGCTGAGGCCCAGCGCATTACATCTCTGGGTTTCCTGGCAGCCACAGGGACACGTGGGACTTGTTTAGGAAGGAGAGGGTCTACGGGGTTTATCTGGGGCCTGGGGCTTCCGCTTCCGCTGCCGCCGCCACTGTACGATGCCGCTCCCGGTGGCAGCAGCCCGTAGGCTCCGTAGTCCAGCTTCCTTAGCATGGCAGCAGGGCTGGTGCCTGCCCCCTGTGGCAAAGGAGGAACCTGAGAATCAGCAAAATAAAGTGTCACCTCACAGGAGGAGGCCCCGTGGGTTTTGGCCCAGCTTTGCTCAAGCTCAAAGGCATTGGCATTCTCACTGTGCTGAGGTCCAGCCCAGTGGACCTCCAGTGGGCACTGCCCCGTGCTTTACAGCACTCACCAGCAAAGAAGACACCTGGAGTCATATGGGATTGGCCAATCAGGCAGCTGGAGTCTTACAGGACTGGCCAATCAGATAGCTGGAGTCTTATAGGACTGGCCAGTCTGGCAGCTGGAGTCTTACAGGACTGACCAATCAGACAGCTGGAGTCTTATGGGACTGGCCAATCGGATGGCTGGAGTGTTATAGGACTGGCCAATCGGATGGCTGGAGTCTTATGGGACTGGCCAATCGGATGGCTGGAGTGTTATAGGACTGGCCAGTCAGATGGCTGGAGTCGTGCGGGACTGGCCAATCAGATGGCTGGAGTCTTGTGGGACTGGCCAATCAGATGGCTGGAGTGTTATAGGACTGGCCAGTCAGATGGCTGGAGTCTTGTGGGACTGGCCAATCAGATGGCTGGAGTGTTATAGGACTGGCCAGTCAGATGGCTGGAGTCTTGTGGGACTGGCCAATCAGATGGCTGGAGTCTTGCAGGACTGGCCAATCAGGGCATTCTGAGCCACAGTTGCGTCCCGGTAAGGCTGCAGTAGAGGTGCAGCCCTGCAGCTTTCAGCCCTGAGACCAGCGGTCAGAGGGGGTGTGAGAGCCTGGACAGACCCGTGCCCAGTGCAGAGGTGGGCGGGACAGCGTTGTAGGTCATGACCCCAGAGAGCCAGCTGGGCTGGTGGGTGTGATGTGAGACTGGCTGCACATGTCAACAGCTGTGTTTCCTTCTAGGAGCGAGAGCGGCTCCTGCGGCCCAAAAGACACCGCGGGAAAGGCCTGAAGCTGCCGAAGGTGAGCCTGCGCCCGGGCAGCTGCCCTGCCTGGATGGGCCAGCGTCTCTGATGTTTGACGGGGAAAACCTGTGGTCGCCGTCTCAGTGATACGTAACCGGTGTCCGTGGACCCGATTGTTGTAATCCATCCTCGGAAAACTCATGGATGAGTACTGTGTTGAGGCCTCGGGCTGCTCGCCCCAAATTAAGAACAGCCCTGGCCAGTTTGGCTCAGTGGTTACATCGTTGGCCTATAGACCAGAGAGTCCCGGGTTCAGTTCCTGCTAAGGACATGTACCTCGGTTGGGGTTATTTCCCGGCCCCCGGTTGGGGTCGTGTGGGTGGCAACCAGTTGATGTGTCTCTCTCACATCGATGTTTCTCTCTCTTCCTCCCTCTCTCCCTCCCGCTCTATCTGAAGATAAATGCAAACATGTCCTCGGGTGAGGATAAAAAACAAGCAAGCAAACAAATGCTTAGACCTTTCAAAGGATTTAAAGGACCCTCGGGCTTGGTTTATAACATCTTATAGCCTGTTCTGAGCAATCAGGAGCTGTGGGCGTTTTTGGAAAGTGTGGGTTTATAGACATAGTGTTCGAATGTTCTGGCGGAGAGAGCTGAGCTGGGCTGGGCCAACAGATGCCCAGGACCCAGCCGGAGTGTGAGAGAGCCCATCGGAGCAGGTGTGGAAGAAGGACTTAGTTTGCACTGAAACTTGTAGGCATGCTTTTCACCTCCACAACGATTGGGCCTGCTCTCCTCCTGGCTTACCTTCGGATGGAGAAGGTTCTAGAGGAATTTCTCCTCTTCGGAAGACAGCAGTGCAGGTGTGATACTGGGTGGCCACTGTGGTGTGGCTTTAGTGGCAGGGTGGCAGTAGGGAGTGGTGGAGACTGAGGAAAACTGGGCCCCGAACACCAGCTGCTGTAAGAAAGTGGACAGGTGGTGTGGGTATTCCAGTTTCTAAGAGGAACTGAAACCTTCATGTGTGTTTCCTGGTGCTTCCGGGGGCTTCGACAACAGGAAAGTCTTCTCTCACAGTCCTGGAGGCTGGAGTCTAAAATCAAGGTGTTAGCGGGGCTATGCTCCCTCTGAAACCGGAAGGGAGTCCTCCCCGCCCATCCCAGCTCCGGGCGACTTGCTGGCCGTCTTTGGTGTCCTGGGCATCGCTCCCCCTCTGTGTGTGTCGTCTCCTGCCGTTCTCCCTGTGTCTCCGTCTCCACAGGGCCGCCACCTTGTAAGGGCAGCAGTCATACTGTGTCTGTGTCTGTCCGCCCTCCTCCAGCGTGACCTCATGGTTACCTAGCTATTTCTGCAGTGACCGTGATTCCAGACAAGGTCACGTTCTGAGGGATGGGGTTTAGGACTTCGACATATCTTTTTTGAGGACCCAGTTTAACCCACAACACCGTAAAATCGAAGGGTTTTAGCTGTTGGGGCAAATGTTCGTAATGCACACTGTGGGCTAAAACAGTACGTGTACGCCGCAGCCAGGGCCACGTCCCGAGGGCCGTGCTCCTCCGTGACGTGCTGTGTCCCGGACACTCAGCCGGTGGTCATTCACCCCGTCTCGTTCCGTGAGCACGGCAAGCCTGGAGGTCGGTGTGATCTTCCATCTTGCAGGAAGCTTGCGGCTATAAAACAGAAGAAACGCAGAGACAAGGTCCGTCCACCAGGCTGAGATTTGCACTCGAGTCGGGGCCGCGAGGCCCATTATGGAAGCGCAGCGGTGGAACGCAGGGCAGGTCTCCGTGCTGTGACACCAGGAACTCAGAGATGGACGTGGTTCTGCAGCACCTCTTTATCCTTAAATGCTGCCTTTCATCAGGGAAGTGGCGTCACAGCACCGCAGACGCCCGGGCGCGCGTGATTTCACGAGCAGCATCTCGGTCGTGCTGGTAGAACGCGCGCCTGCACCCTGTGTTTCCAGTGGATGTCACTCTGTAGAGCATCCCTCCACATGATGACGCTGTCATCACAGACGTGCATTTTTGTGGCTCCGTGATCTGTTGAGCGGATGGGCCGGGAGTTTGCTGGCCGTCCTGCTGTGTCTGTCGGCCTGTCTGCTCCCAGCTCCCCGTGGACGTGACGTGGCCGCAGGGAGCGTGTGTGGGCTCTGTGGGTGTCCTTCTGGGCCGGTTCTGCCTTCTTCCCTGTGTGCCAGACATTTCAGTAAGTGGCCCCTTCCCCCCCGTTGGACTTTCTGCTTCCATAAGTGTCGCCCCAGCAAACTCCCTTTGTCCAGGCAGCTGTGGTCTGCATTGTTCCCAGGGACAGGTCCCCAGAAATCAACATGCAGATTGGAGGCTGTGACCCGCCCCCCGGCTTATGGAGGACTGGCCTCATTTTCACAGCGGCCTGCGTGTCTGTGGATGCTCTTGTCACCAGGGACAGACGGGGAAAAAGCCACACTCCCTAGGAATTGAGTCTGTCCCACTGGCTGGATGCGCGGTGGCGTTCTGGCCCCATGAAGCGTCTACGGGGGTGTTCGGGACGCCCACTGTGAGCCTGGCCGCGTCTCAGACCGAGGCTGCAGTGCCTGGAGGAAGGACAGGGGGCTTCCTTTTCCCGACTTCACAGCGTGGTCACGGGAAGAGAGCTGACCCGCCTGGCGTTGGCTTCCCAGTTGCTGGGCTTGACCGTGTCCTGCTGTGTCCTCTGTCCAGGTCTGGTCACTGCCTGCTGCCCCTTGGAAGTGCTGACGAGGAAGTGAACTGCCTGTGCTGGAAGTTTCTGGAAGGGTGGGGATGGGCGATCCCTTTAATTAAAATACTGGACTGCCACTCCGAGACCAGTGGGCCTGAGTTCTTCCCACATACTGTCTTTTCCTCAGGGCTCAGGGTAGACCAGCCATCCTCTGCCGGCTCCCACTGCACCCCAGCGTTGACTGGGGCGGGGTGCGATGGAAATCTGGCCCATCGGGGACCCGCGCAGGTGTTTCAGCCCCTGATGGCCCCTCCAGGCCCCGCAGGCCCCGGGGATTCTCGGGTTCCTTTCCCCGCTTGGACGCCCACCGTGGGGCGGCCAGTAAGTCGTGTGCTGCTGGCTCCTGAGCGTCCTCTCTAGCCGCCCAGAGCTGTAGCTCAGTGCAGGCTGAGCATACGAGCAGTGGCCAAAGTTAGGACAGTTTGCTGGGGTCACAGGGCCTCCTGGGGCCTCGTGCAGGACAGCATTTAGGCCGCCCCTGCAGACTTTGGAAGACAGGAAGTTCTGGTGGCTCTAGGCGCTGTATGCGGGCAGCCCAGAGCGAACTGCGGTGGCCCAGTCTCCAGAGGGCAGTGGCTGGGAGGCAGGTCTGCAGGCTCCTGGGTCTCCTGCCTGCTGTTGGGAGGGACCTCGGACCCAGTGGGGAGCGGGGGGCACAGGCTCCCTGATTCCAGCCCCGCCCCTCCAGGCCTCTGCTTTCTCTCTGGCCTCCACCACCTCCTTCCGGCCTCATCTGATCATTGCCACCGCTCCCTGGCCTGCACTGCTGCCAGAGGGTCTTTCTGAGGCACAGTCTGACCCTGCCACCTTCTTCCTGAAAACCCCCAGGGGGTGAAGCTGGGATCCGGCCCATGCACCTCCGGCTTTATTCCCCTCGCACACCCTGGCTCCCGCCCCTGGGGCTTCCCACACCGCCTCACCTCCAGACTCCAGCTCGGCAGACGCCCTCCACCTCCGCGCCGCTTGGCTGACCCCAAGCCTTTGCCCTTCCCGCAGGGTTCGGTGCCCTTCCCCGGGCTTCCTCAGCCCTGCTCCTCCGTGCTGACAGGCGGTGCAGCGTCTCGTCGTCGGTCTGCTGGGCTCCCTCTGGGGGTCTGCAGGGAAGGACTCGGAGGAGGCCGGTGCTTGTGACAGCCGTGGGGGCTGTGGGCGAGCTGGGACTGGGGCCGCGTGGTCTGCAGGCAGCCAGGGAACAGAGTTGGAACCCTGCCCTTGTGGCTTATGCCAGGGTCTCCGGTCTGGTTCCCTGGGTCAGGTGCTGCCCTGTCGGAGCGGCCCAGGGCCTCTGGGTCTCACGCCCGCAATGAGCCCAGTGGTGAAGGCCAAGGCAGTGTGGCTCTCAACCCCCCCCCCCCACAGCCCCCATCACGCTAGCCATCATGTGTGGAGTGTCTGCCTCGGGCCCAGCAGAATGTCAGGTGACAGGGCCCAGAGGTGTCACCACCCTTGAGAAGCTTTTGGCAGAGGTGGAGGTCTTAGTAGAGCCAGGAACCAGCCCACTGGGCCTGTCTCATGCTTCCTGCAGAGCTGGTAATTCTCGAAGCTCAGGCAGCTGTTACAGCTGGTAACACTTGCCGGGCAAAGGCTGTCCTTGGATTGTTTGAGGGTCCAGGTGCAAAGTAGCTTGGAGAGAAATTAGCCTTTAGATTGTCCCAGAACTCAGCAGTTTGCAGGTGGCTTCATTTTTAGGATTATCTCCCTCTCCCCCACTTGCCAAGTTTCTTTCATTTGCCAGGGTCAAAATCTCAGTCACTTAAGCAAAGAAAATAGTTTATATCACTGAGAAGCCTAAAGATTCTGGCTTCAGGCATGGCTGGATCCAGGTGCTCACATGATGTTGCCAGGAACTTTTCTCTCTGTCTTTCAACTCTGGGCTGGCTTGTTTCTCAAGAGGGCTCTTCCCATGTGGGGGCCCAAACACTTGTAGCAGCTGGCATTGTAGCTACCCAGCAGCTTCTGTGATAGGATGGCATCTGTCCTCAGCAGTTCCAGCAAAAGTTCTCCATCTGCGTGGCCCACCATTTGGAAGCGTGACTTAAAGGCTTAGCACCAAATTGCATATACAGCACGATATAGTTATACAGCTCATATCACGGAAACTTGAAAAGGAGCAGTATGAAGCGTTGTTGAAGTGGAAAGATATATATGAACTTGGCTGCATATATATTTTCTTTTTGTCCGTTGCCTTTTACCATTGCTTTACTGTATTTCAGAGTATTGACGTTTTACTTTTTATGGTAAAATCTGTCCATTTTCCACTGTGATGGTCTTTCTTTCGATGTGGTGCCGGAGAAGCGTCGCCCAGGTGTGCCAGCTCTCGCAGGTGCCCACACGGGCAGGGACCGCGTGCAGCTTTTCTGTGGGGGACGGCCCCTGTGCTTCTGGATAAACGGTGAACACGGGCTGAGAGAAGCGTCCGAGAAACGGAGCGTGGCAGGGGTCAGGGCAGCGGAGACCTTTCCCAAGCACGCGAGGTGGCGCCTCCTGGGTTTTGGCTGGTCCCGGAGGAGGCTCTGTCTGCGTCACTGTTGCTGAGGCTGTGCCCCAGGTCCCGGGCCTGGGGAATGGCATTGGCGACAGGGAGCCTGGGGTGTGGGAGGAGAACCCTCGGAGAATAAACTGTGAGGAAGCTGTTCTGTGTGACTCATGCGCCTGGCCCAGGCTCTGGAAACCGCGCCCTGGGTCAGATCTGCCCAGAGCTGGCATCCCTGCCACTGTGGGGCCCCCGCCGAGTGCCCGTCCCCAGGCCTGTGCAGCGGGCCAGCGGGCCAGCGTGGCAGAGGAAGGCAGATGCGCTGGGAGAGAAGGGGTGCTTTGTCCTGGGACTCGGAGCGGCCTGCACAGTGATGCGCTGAGTGGCTCTGGCCCCACGCGGGCCGGCGGGTGGGAGCCGGCGCCATGGAGTACCTCCTGTTCGTGCTCTACTTCTCCTTCTTCCTGTGTCTCTGCACCCTGGTCTGCCTCTACTTCTCCGGCTGCCAGGAGATGACCTACCGGCATGAAGGTGAGCGGCGGCGGCTCCCTCCGGGGACGGTGTTGGAGGCGACTCGAGCGGAGGCTGAGGGAGGCAGGAAGCAGTGCAGGCGGGTTCTTTGGGGGGCCCCCTCTTTCCCTCTTGGTCCCACTTGGTCTAAGAACGAGCACCTCTGTATTCAAAGTGTAATCAGAGTCTTTTACATACTTTCCAGTCACTTTTTCGCAAACTGCGTTTTAAAAATTGGGGTTGTTTTGTAAAAGGAGTCAGCAAGGCAAGACTTTGGCAGCCCGGAGGTGGAGCCCCGCGTAGGTGCTCAGAATGAGCGAAGATGGAACTTGATGCCCGGCAGTACTTTTCGTAGGGAATGTGGGACACGGGACGGAGGAGGGAGACCGAGCCCTGGCTTCTCTCCTGCTTGACTGTTCACAGCCGCAGGAGCTGGGCACGAGCGGCAACGGTGTTTCCAGGGGGCTCTCGCGCCCTCCTGGGAGGCAGGTGGAGTTGTTGCACGTCGATCTTGAAAATGCAGTAGTTGCAATGTCTTCAAACAAGACAGCACCAGATTTTCACTTGAAGCATTGAAACGTCCTTTTCTGTCTTGTTTTTATTAACAAAGGCATATGTTTCTGAAGCACGTTTTGGCTTCCCATATAATACAGTCACTTTGCAAAAGCTAACCCTTGGGGGAATCAAACGGACCCAATCCATGTGTTATGCAGGGTGTGGGGGGGGCGTGCTCAGCTCACGGCTGCCGTGGAAACCGTGTGTGCGGTGCATCTGTGGAAGCCCAGCCTTGTGGTTACAGGGTTGTGCTCTGACTGCCCTTTGTGTTTGTTGTCCGCCCTCAGAGCGGCTCCCGCTGGGACCGCGTTCTACTGCAAGGGCTCCCCGGCGTCTCGGGCAGGCTGGCGTCCAGGGGCAGCTCGCTTTGGATGCACAGCTCGGGCATCGGCACCTAATGCCCTGCATTAGGGCTCCACGGTGGAGTGTTTAGCCAGCAGTCACAGGGTTTCAGAAATCACCTCAGCCTGTGAGATGCACCTGAGTCACCGGCCCCCAGAATGGTCCCCAGAACGGTCCCGGGCACTGGCTGTGTGATCTCAGCCTGGCACCCTGTCCTGATCCTTTGGAGAGTGCGTGGCTTGATGGTTCCTGGGGCTCCCCCGCTGTGCCAGGTAGGGCCCTGCCTGCATCACCGCCCGCTGCCTGTGGGCACAACCGCAAACACAGTCCTGTCCCCAGAGGCCTCGCAATTAGCGGTGTTTACAAGAAATAAGGCCGGCCAAGTGGCATCCGGGAAATGAGCCTGGAGCTCAGGTGAGCCGTGCGTGCTGCAGACGTGTCCCTCCCGAAGGTGCCCTGTCACCATCGGACGTCCCAGCCCCGCTCCGCAGGGAAGGTCTGGAGCACTTGATACCTGACCCTGAACCAGGTGGGGTTTTCGTCTGGAGGGGGATTTGCTACATGGTTGTTGTCTCCAACGTCCACTTGGAGAGAAGAAATCATTTGACATCAACGGAGTTTGTTAGGTCCTCGCATTCCTACCCGTGACAGTCGCCTGGACGCACAGCCAGGGGACAGCCAGCTGTGCTGGCTGCAGACAGAAGGGGGGGGGCATCCCTGCAGATGGAAACTACTGTGGGTAAACAAATTAGTTCTGGCTTTGAGTTCATTAACAGAGACATGTGAATACTCATTCCACAGCCGGTATTTATTACAGTGGGGAGCAAAAGAGCTCAAATCCTGCTGTTGTGGAGCAAAATCCCTGTCCCCACGGGGCTTATGTCCCAGGGTGGGAGACAGGAAATAAACATGTAAGACAAACAGATCTACGTCAGGTGGTGCTGAGTTGGGGAGGAGAAAGGTTAGACAGGTCGGGATGGGGACGGGCTAGGAAGGACTTTGATGTGGTGGTCAGGGAAGCCTTTTTTTTTTTTTTAATCCTCACCCGAGGATATTTTTCCATTGCTCTTTAGATAGAGTGGAAAGGAGGGAGGGAGAGAGAGAGAAACGTTGATGTGAGAGACACATTGATTGGTTGCTTCCCGCGTGATCCCCACCAGGGCTGGGGAATCAAATCTGCAACCCAGGTACGTGCCCTTGACTGGGAATTGAACCTGTGACCCTTCAGTCCCTGGGCTGACACTCTAACCGCTGAGTCAGATCGGTCAGGGCAGGGAGCCTTGTTTGATAAGGTTGCATCTGTGCGAAGACTCGAGGGTAGTGTAGGAGGGAGCCGTGTGGATCCCGGAGACGCACATAGGCAGTGCAAAGGCCCTGTGGCAGGCACGTGGAAGGCTCCAGAACCTGCTTGGCAGTGTGGCTGGTGCCCAGTGGAGGAGGAGAACGAGGGGAGGGGTGAGGCTGGACAGGGTGGAGGCAGGCCACACAGGTGTGCGGGTTGCAGTGTGTGCATTGGCTTTTACTCAGCTCTGATGGGCCGCCAGGTTGAAGGACCAGGGTAGCAGCAGCGAGGCCAGTAGGAGGCGGTTTTAGTCATTTCTGTGAGAGAGGACGGTGGCCTGGGCCAGGACGGAGGGGCTGCGGGTGGGAGGGTTGGGGTCTGGGTTGAGGTAGAGCCAACAGGGTTTCTCCAGGAGGCGTGAGGGCGAGGGGTGTCGGGGGTGCCTAGATATTTTACCTGAGCAACTAAAGGATGGTGCACTGGGACGAGCACACGCTAGATAGTAGGTGTGGCAGGTTTGGGCGTGTGTCGCTGTCACCGGGTCTGTGTAGTTGCTGGGCAGATGGCTGACCACCGTCGGGAGTTCAGGATGTGGTATCTGCCCCCCCCCGTGTGTTAAAAAAACAAAAATGGGGCGTGAGGGGGGGTGGCATCAGGAAGACAAGTGCCAAGTGCAAGGGCGTGTAGGTGACAGGGGGGGTCGGCGCCTCCGTGAGGCCTCCTCAGAAACTCAGGGTGCAGATGACAGAGAAGTGCCCTCCCCCCGCTGACGTCGGAATTAGTGCTCAGTCACGTTGCAGACGCCACTGGCTTCATCCAGCCAAGTGGGAGGCGCCCTCTGCGTGCAGGGTGTGCCGACCGCTCCTGGCTGAGCGCGGGGGGAGGGGGCTCTGGGAGAAGCCGGGTCCGGACATGCCAGTGGGAGCCAGGGGCTTAGCTCTGGATTTAGTTACGGTTGCTTCTTCCTGGTCGTGAGAAGCACCCACTGATTGTAAAAACAGATAAAAGGTCTTCCCAGGGATTGTTTGGGGAAAAAATCCCCATGTTCTTAAACAAGATGATCTGGAGATTGTGGGTGGATGTCGCAGCCCCAGGGGAGGACGTCCCTGTGGCTGGGATCACGTCTGGTTTTGATCACATCGTGTCCACCCAGTGTCTGAACCACAGAAGGTGCTCCATCAGGTGCTTGCGGAATGGATGAACGAACGAATGAATGAACGAACGAATGAATGAATGAATCACATGGGTTAAGTGCTGGGTAGGGTAACCAGGAGGTCGTTACAGTGATTGGCATTAAAATTGCCTCTGACTCTGAGTGGTGGGTGCATGAGGGCCTGTTACACTGTTCCTTCTAATTTGGTAAAATTTCTGTTTTCTGTAATAAAGAAAAATAGCCTCTTAGCGCAGTCTGGAGAGGACCTGGGCCACACGCTCACCTGGTTGGTCAGAGCCCGGGGCCCATCTGTGGACACTGCCCGTTTCACTTTCCCTGTGTGTGGCATCGAGAATGAGACACCCCCTCCCCTGGCCACTCCCTGGTCCTCGGCTCAACGTGCTGCCCACTAAGGGTCAGCACATGGGCACAGCACACGCGTGGCCTCGCTTTGTGCTCACAGATGAGGTGACGGTTCCATGTCCCTTTGAGGGGCTGAGTGACTTGTGTAAGGTCAACAGCTCCCAAGCCCAGAGCCAGGATCCGGACAGCGCCCTCTGCTGCAGCCCTCCCCCTCCCCCACCTCCTTTCCCACCCTGCCCACTATGAACCCCTCTCCGGTGTCCTTGGTCCAGCTGTGTCTTGTAGCTTGGGGACCTGGCGAGTCTGAGTTTGTTCCTAACATCATCATGTTGCCTTTCACAGAAGCATGTTGTGGAGACATTTTTTGGATTTGATGAGGAGTCTGTGGACTCGGAAACATTGTCAGAAACATCCTGCAACACAGACAGGACGGACAGGGCCCCAGCCACGCCCGAAGAAGACCTGGACGATGTGAGCGAGCCCCAGCCCAGAGATGCTGGTCGTGGCGCTCGGGCCTCTGCCCCCCGCGACCTGTGACATGACCGCCCGCGGCGTCAGGGGAGGTGGTCCCCTCCCACGGGCACGGGCACGGCAGTGCAGGGATCCCTTTCCGTTACCCAGCTCCGATTCCACAGAGAGATCTAAGGTCACCCTGGTGTGACTGACCTTTGCACTTGAAATTGCTGTGTGGTGGTCTGTCCCTCATTCTCCTACACACGTGTGCATGCACACACACCCAGGCACACACACATACAAAAACAGGTGCACATACACAGGCACACACATAGGCATGCACATGCAAGCGCACACGCACCCACATTCACAGTGCACATACACACGTGCACACATGTGTGCACACACAGGTGCATACATACGCACACATGCACACATTCACACGTACACAGATGCACACATGTGCACACAAGCACACAGGTGCACACAAGCACACAGGTGCACACACACATAGGGGTGCACACACAGTACACAAATGCACGCACGTGCTCACACATTCACACGCAGACACATGCACACAGCACAGCACCTGGTGGAAGCAGGACGGTTGCCGCCTTCACGTAAGGCCGGCACGTGGTGCAGGAGAGAACGCAGTCAGCACTGACCGTGTGGACAGCGGAGTAGAACCCCCCCCCCCGCCCCCCCGGGAGCCCTCTCAGCCGAGACCCCACCTCAGCCCTCCCCAGTGACCTGGACTCACCAGGTGTGAAGAGTGGCTTCATCTCTCCCGAACCCAACCCGAGCTGACTTTTCTTAGGAAAACTGAGTAAAATGCAGCCGTGCCAGGCACATGCTTTTTGACTTGCTTTTTCACTAACGGTGTGTGACAGGTGTCCTTCAGCACCCAGACTGCCACAGCGCCCTCTTGCGAGCATGTGGTGCATTTAACTTGCCGGCCCTGAAGGCGGGGCCTGTAAACAAGCCCCGGAGGCCCTCCCGGCTGGCACATGTATGCACCCATGGCAGTCACCTCCACAGGGAGATCCCAGCATGAGGAGTGCTGGGTGGGGGCACAAGGCTCACGGTCACCTGCGAGTCGGAGGGGACTCAGGCGGTCCCCAAGGGCGGGTGAGCACTGGGAGGGGGCAGTGTCTGCTCTCGGTGGTCCTTCCGTCCGGGCAGTGACGGTGAAGCCAGCAGCTCTGTCAGGACCCTGGCACCCGAAGCCACACCCAGTCCCGTGCTTCATGGTCTGTCTTCTCCGTGCCCTTCAGACGACCACCAGAGAAGAGGCTGACCTGAGGTTCTGCCAGCTGACCAGGGAGTACCAGGCCCTGCAGCGAGCCTACGCCCTGCTGCAGGAGCAGGTCGGGGGGACGCTGGATGCCGAGAGGGAGGCCCGGGTGAGTGCCCAGGCGTGGCAGGCGGGGGCTGGCTGTGCATGCCCTTCCTGTGCTGTGATTCTGTCCCGTCGCCCTGCGGGGTGGCTTGGAGCGGATCTGAGGTAATGAGACACATCGCAGACTCTCGTGGTGGCAGTGTTGGGCAGACCCACGGACTCTGCGTCCTCCGCGGGACAGCAGGGGGCGCCAGAGGAAACGATGCCACGTCTGACACAGGTCCTGTGTGCCGTCCGCTCCCACGGAGTTCCAGAACTGAAGCCTCAGTAGTGAAACCCTAGCAGACTCTGGACTCCCCTCCCTCCCAGGCTGAGGGGACCCCAAGAACATCCCTATGGAAACGTGAGGGACACTCTGGCCCCAGGTCTGGGCCGTGCCTGCCCTGTGCCGGGCTGAGCTCTGTCTTCAGTCCACTTACTGGCCCTTACCCCACCTTCAGGAGTCCCATAGACCAGGGGCTGCTTGCCCTTCCTTCTGAGGGCACACCCGGTGCCAGTGCCGCACCCCAGGGGTCCCGGGTTCATTCCAGGGCAGCCATGAGGTAGGGGTGACGAGTGAGGCTGGTGGGGAGCCATGCTTCTGAGCCATGAGAAAGGGCTCCGCCTGTAATCTGGAGGTCGGCGGAGGTCCGTGGCTGAGCCATGTGGTTTTTATTAACATTTTTTTCTAGATGCCCACATCTGCAGATAGGCAGGTCCCCGGCTTCCCTTGGAGGCTCCGAACTCCTGCAGCTGCAGGCTTCTGTTCCACACTGTTCCACGCGGTCGCGTTCGGCTCCAGCTGAGGGCAGATTCCCTGAGCTGGGACATGTGTCTCCAGCGTGCCCGTCAGTCCCCACCACTGCCCGACACCCCGTGCTCCAGTTCCAGCCCTGGCCTCGGCGATAAAGGGCCCACGGAAGGCGCTGGGCACGTGTGAAGGCGCTTGGGCGTGGTGACCGCTGCGTGAGCCACTGAGCTTGGCCGCAAAGCCGGGTTCCCAGCTGACGTGCCTGGTTCTGGCTCACTCCGCCCCTTGAAGGAACCGGCCCGTTCTCCAGGGGTCGGTGTCCTCATCTGTAAAACCCAGGGGTCAGAACTGACAGCTTCTCGAGGCCTTTCAGTTCTCACGCTGACGTCTGTAGGTGGCGGTGCCTGCGTGCTACCAGGCCGGCCGGTTGGAACAGGTGCTCCAAAGTGGGCCTGTGTCCACTGGGCTGCCGCGTGCTCCTTCCCGCTCCTCGGCCGGCCCGTCCCGGCGACTCACTTTCTGTTCGCTTCATTCCAGACCCGGGAGCAGCTGCAAGCCGATCTCCTGAGGTGTCAGGCCAAAATCGAAGACTTGGAGAAGCTGCTGGTGGAGAGGGGACAGGTGAGCAGCAGTGGCTGGAGTGTCCCCGGGGCCTGGTGTGGAGGGGCCGCTCTGTGGACCTGTATATTTTTTTTGTTTGTCCTCACCTGAGGATATTTTCCCATTGATTTTTAGAGAGAGTGGAAGGGAGGGAGGAAGGAAGAGAGAGAGAGAGAGAGAAACATTGATGTGAGAGAAACATATTGATCAATTGCCCCCATGCCACCCCAACTGGGGTCGGAGTTCAAACCTGCAACCCAGGTACATGCCCTTGACTAGGAATCGAACCCGAGACCCTTCTGTCTGTGAGCCGACGCTCTAGCGACGGAGCCAAACCAGCCAGGGCTGGACCTGTGTCGTTTGCTCGAGACAGAGGGAAAAGCAGTAGCAGAGTCCAGGCGAGAACATCCCCGCTCACGAGCCTCTTTGCGGACCTTTAAACACTCGACACAAGTCGTGAAATTCTAACTTGGCTCGCTCTTTGCACAAAAGTAGGACACGATTCCAAAAGCAAAGTGGTGACCGACATCTCATTTGACTTGACTCTGAAGACGCGCTGCCATTGACCATCACGACGTAACTGTGGACATGAACCGGGTCCTGCCACGAGCTGTCAGTCACTGCAATGGCCCCGCCTGGGGCCGCCATGCAGTGACCGTCACGTAAAAGTCCAGGCCCTCGCACTTCTCAGATTAGAGCCACCTCCGTGTGCATGTTCCCTGTATCTGGTTAGGCTGGTGGGAGCAGGGTACAGTAGGGAGGCAGAGCCTGGGCCCAGACCGGTCCCTGGCACGGGGAGCCTCCCAGAGGGTGCCCCCTAACGGTAGGTGGAAGGAAGCCGGGAGGCCGCTGCAGTAGGGAGGAGGGAAGGACGTGTCTTCATGTATCCACCCCTCCCGCTCCGGTCTGCTGAGCACTGGCTGTGCGCCCGGCACCGTGCTGGGCGCTGGCCAGGCCACAGTGCCAGGACGGACTGGTGCCGTGTGCGTGTGGAACTGCCCTGGACGGCACGGGCCACGGGCCGCGGGCCGAGGGACGGGAATGCACACGTGTGTCACTGTCTGGACGCTGGCCCGGGGGCTGCAGCGAACCGCAGGAGGGTCTGCGGGGTGACGCGGTCACAGCGTGGCTGCCTCTGTCACTGACCTGGAACCGGGTCTCTGTGCCTGTAGGGGCGTGAGCCCGGAGCAGGGCTGCTCCACGGACCAGCCGTCTCTCTCTTCGGGCTGAAAGGGGTAGGGGTCTGGCGAGGTCCTTCCAGCCGCTGTCGTCTTCTCTGACCTTTGCAAAGGAAGTTTCTGACCGGTGGCCTTTCTCACGGACGCTTTGTTCTTGAACCGCCATCGGCTTCGGTGAGTGTGAACCTACTCAGTGCTTTTCCCCAGGATTCCAAGTGGGTGGAGGAGAAGCAGCTGCTCGTGAGGACCAACCAGGAGCTGCAGGAGAAGGTACGTGGCGCACACCTCGCCCGCCCCGCCGGGCCGCGCAGGCCGCTCTGACGGCTCGTTCAGCCCCCCACGGGCAGCACCCGGCCAGCCCTAGAGAGGAGACACCTTCCTCGAGGTGATCGGAGCCTGGTTTCTGGGGACTCTGGGACCCTGTCCTGGTTCTGTCCTGGGAGGGTGGATGCGCTGACCCAGACCTTCCTGCGGGGCAGCTGCCGACAGGGCTGCCGTCCAGAGGGGTCCAGAGCCCCCCCTCCCGTGGGGCAGCCCTCAGGCTGGTCGCATACAGTTCATGGACCGGTGGCCATGGTGCTGGCGGAGGACCGTGCCTCTCGGTCTTGGAACTTTCCGGAATTCTCTTCGGGAGCTGGCTTGGAGAAATAGGTCTAATGCTTTGGGACACGACCGTAGCTAAACTTTTTTTCTTACCTGTTTATAATTCAGGGATTTTCCCCCCATAAATGTACTGAGTGTGCAAACATCACTGCAGGGCAGTTTTAGGACCCCCCCCCAAGATCCCTCCTGCCCACTTGCAGCGCTCCCCGCCCCCACCCCCGGACCCAGGCAGCCACCATCGACTTCCTGTCCCTGCAGGTGGGCCTCTTCCACCCTTCCACGCTGGAGGAGTCGGGCCGGGTGGGCCTGGCGTTGGGCATCCTGGGTGCCAGGACTGGACAGCTGGCCTGTCCCCGGGGAGGGGCCTCGGCCCAGCCCCAGCTCCGCCCCGGCCGCTGTGGCCGATCGCTGTCCTGTGCTCACAGCATTGGGGCATCAGGACAGGACTGGCCACTGTCCTGGAGTCGGTCCTGTGTACTGGGAGAGATTGTCTGTCCTTGGTCCTGCCGCCAAATTCCGGAGCCTCAGAAAACCCTTGCCCTGCTTCCTCGCGTCCCCTGGGGCGGGCCATCCCAGCGAGTCCCCTCTCTGGTCCTTCTGGCGGGAGGACAGTGTGACTGTGACTTCCGAGGCCCTCGGTTCGTGACTACCTCAGTCCTGCAGCCAGTGAACTCGGGGGGCCGTTTTCCTCCTTGGATGAAACTGAGGTGCAGAGCAGTTGGCAGCTCCCCAGGGGTCCCGGGGTTTGGAGCAAGCAGCCGTGTGGACGCTTCCGGAGGACTGCAGCCCCGTGGTTGTGGGACTCCTCTGGGCTAGAGGGGCCCAGACGGGCTTGGGGGTCACCGTTCTTCCCCATGACTGACCTCCAGGAAGGGACTTAGTCGCTCTGGGCCTCAGTTTCCCCATCATTCATTTATTCAGCAAATATATGAAAAGGCCCTTCTCTGGGCCAGGCGCGGGCTGTGGGGACGAACCAGGTGCTGCTCCAGCCCAGCTCCCCAGCAGAACGGCCCCTCCTTCGTGGTCCGCGATCAGGGGACACGGCGCCGGTGGCCCCGGTGAGGGGCAGGCTCCTGCCCATTCAACCACAGATGTTTTTGCTCTAGATTTACAGGCTGGAAATGGAAGAGAACCAGCTGAAGAGCGAAATGCAAGACGCGAAGGACCAGAACGAGCTGTTAGAGTTCAGAGTACTAGAGCTTGAAGTAAGAGAGTCTATCTGTTGTACACTCGCCAACGGCACAGACATTCTCTTTGAGCCCAAACTGAAATTCATGTGACGCGCCCCGGGTGCCCACGCATGTGCAAAGGGGCGTGCTCTGGTCGTCTCTCTCTCTCTCTCTCTTTTTTTTTAAATCTGTATGTTCGGAATAATTTCACTGCCTTAAATGTTCTGGAGAGAATGCTCACTGAAGTCTTTGGACATGTACCAGAGCTGATATATTTATTGCCTACGGCTTGTTTTGCACTTAATAAAATAATTTGTTTTTGCAATAGTTTGCCTTTTTTATTTGTGTTTCATTTCCATAACTACTTCTCTCCTGCATGCCTAGTCACCTAGTACGCATTCTGCAAACCTGGACCGAAGCACTTGTCGTTAGTGACGACTGTTAAAGTGACCTCGCATGCCATGGGTCTCATCTCTCGAGGTAGCAGGTTCTGACCCGATGGGCAAGTGCCTCTAGAATGTGTTTACTGCTAGTTTGACCCATTTTCTATTTGCCAAGGTAAACACAGGTAAGTAACCTGGGTACAAGGAAGTATTTGCATAGCTCGCTAAGAAAATGCATTATGTTGCTTCAACTATTTTCTCCAGTGAGTGCAGACCCAGGTGTTGCAGTTTTGGGCTGAAAAGTTACTACCTGTAGCTCAAACTGCAGCTGAAAAGGGCTCCTTAGCCTGGAGGGTGTTTGAACGTTGTTCACAGGAGAAATGTGTTCAGCCTTCAGCCACTCCCCAGGACAGAGCCGGGCCTCGTGTGGCGATGTGGACTGGCTCCCTGCTTCCCACGGAATCCTCCTCGGGTGTGTTACCGTGGCACCCGCTGCCACGGGGCTTCATAACCCTTTTGTGTTTGTTTCCGTTCCAAGATCACTGGCATCTTAACAGCACCTGAGTTTGTGACTGGTTTGCTGCAGTGACCCAGCTCTGCAGTCCCTTTGCATGAGTGGACGGGAGCAGCGTTTCTGGTTCTGTCTTCTCCTACCTTCCGTTCACGTCCTGTTGGTGCTAGGACTTACCATGTGGTCCTTGGTCGTGTGGGCACGGCCCGTGGCCGGGGGTCTCAGGGCCCGTGTTGCAGGCTCCCGGACTCTGGCTCGGTGAGAGCCAAGCATTGCACCCGTGCACAGAAGTCGGAAGTTGCATGAGGTCCAGGCTGTTAACGGCCACCGCTGCCACTTGTTAGAAAACCTTTCACAGGCCTTTGTCTTTCTCATGAGAATTCTATAAGCATTGCTCAGTTTACTAGAATTTTCTTTAGGTGTCTCCGCCATCCTTCAGAGCCGTTGGAAACCAACGTTCTAACTTCCACTCGTTAAATATGAGCTTCCTCTTACGACCTTGTCTATGGAGATTCCACTTAAGTAGCTAGAAGGGCATCCACAGGACTCAGCCGCTGCGGATTTTATTCTTGGCTAATAAGGGAAATGAGGTTTCTGTCTAAACTGTTTCAAGCCCAGCTGAGCCAGGTCAAGGCTTCGTGGAAACTAAGTGAATGAATAGCTTCTTCTCTCCTTTAGCCTTATCCAAGGTTGCCTGCTTACGACCTGCCCCCTAACTAGTGTCCACTGGTTACATCCCCCCTCTTGGGGACTGAAGAAGCCCATGGGCTCTGTGGCAGTTTCTGCAGGAGTGGTCGGAGCGTGCGTAGAGCTCACTGTAATTCTGAGAACAGAAGAGCAGTTTGATTTCAAGGTATTTGCAAAGGCGCCCTCTGCTGGCTGACCTGCTGCAGCTCAGGGTGTAAGAGCAGAGCTCTGTGGGACACCTCAGACCAGAGGACTTAGTGGCTGAGTTTTATTCCTATCAGTTATTGGGCTGCTCTTGTCCATTCTAAAGACATTCTAATCATCGCTTCGTGGATGATTACCGAGTACCTCTTCTGGGAAAACGCTAGCCATTCCTCCCTTGGTCACTGAGATTTGACTGTCCATCCAAGGCAGGACTAGAACGATCCTTCGTGGGGTAGTGTGGTTCAAAAAAACACAGACGCACACACAAACTGTGAACGAAGTCAGCCGTTATATTTAAGAATATGAGAAGCCAGGGTCCTGGCCCTGCCACTCACCCGTCTGTCTGCAAAATGAACACAATCGCACCTGCCTGGCGGGGTTGTGTGAGGGTAACGGAAGAAAGCCACGTGCCCAGGGCACAGTGCGCACCCCAGTTGTTATCGAATATTTACCGGTGGTGTGTGGCACCCCGGGCTCCCGTCTCGCCGTGGCCCTCTGCTAACCATTTCTTCCGGCGGACTAGGTGAGCGGTGAACAGGTGTCCACAGGAGGTCAAAGCCCCGACGTCACGCTGTTCCACGGACAAGGCTGTCGTCATCTGAATGTGCGCTTTTTAGTAACATCTTTGCCACCTGGAATATGTTGGTTTTGCTGAGTAACATGGGAAAGAATGGCAAGTGGTAAATAATTCAATAAAGGCCTGTTTTTAAACCCAATCTTTTCCCCAGGAGAGAGAACGGAGGTCGCCAGCATTTAACCTCCAAATCGCCACCTTCCCCGAGAACCACAGCAGCGCGCTCCAGCTGTTCTGCCGCCAGGAAGGAGTGAAGGTAGCGTGCCGGGGGGACCTCTGCTGCCGCGGCCAGACACGCCGGCTCCGTGCCAGCTCCGCTAGACGGGGGGATGTGCCCTGGGCCAGGGTAGGGTTCCTTTTCACGAGTGATCCCTGTCCCCGCACCGTATTTTAAGTGTCATAGTTATTTCAGTGAATCCGCGATTGTTAAAAGCACAGATGTGGGACGTGGCCTTGAGTGCTGACCCCAGCTCTGGCCCTCTCGGAACCTCAGTCTCTGCGTCTGTGAGACCTGGGTGGCAGTACCCACACCATGAGGTGGGTGGGTCAGTTAACCCGGAGAAGTACTCAGCACAGTGCTTGTCAGGCAAGGGGTGCTTGGCAGAGGGTTGTCGAACAGCCGAGTGTGTGCCCTGGGCACAGGGTCCTGTGAGACCCGTGGGCACAGAGACGGTCCTTCCGACCCGCAGGATGCCATGGCCTGTGTAGAAAGCAGGGACATTAAGCTCAGCCCCAGAGCAGCAGTGACCAGCCTGCTGTCCCTCCGCCTGAGGAGCTGCTCGGATAACCCTCCGGCCGTGTGCCGGGAGCGGGCGCGGTGCCTGGGGGAGGAGCCAGGACTCGGCCCTAGCGCTCGGGGCGATGCTCTCTGCAGCTCAGAAATGAACGTTGGAAATCTTTTCCAGGATGTGAATATTTCTGAACTTATGAAGAAGTTAGATATCCTTGGCGATAACGGGGTAACTATGAGCGGCCGGTTTCTGGTTTCGTGTTCTTATTTTGATTCGGGTGTCCTCTGTGTGGCTTTTGTTGTTTCGGTTTCCTGTCTCCCCAGTTTAAGAGATCCGATGAGTGAGGGTTTTGTATGGCCACGTTCCTGTGGGGGTGGCGGGGTCCGCATCGTCAGAAGCGGGGTTCTCAAGTCCGCTAGTCCTTGTAGCCCACGAGCGGTGATGGGGAGAAGCGGAAACATGGATACCCCGAGCGCAGAATGCCCCGAGATGTCTGAAATCACAAAGCGACATTTTTACCTTCCTAAACGATGCGCTTGGTGCCAGCGCGACACGTCCTCAGGCGGGACGTCTGTGCCGTTAAAGGCCGGCCCTTGAGAGAGTGGGGGCTGGCCCGGGGCGCCGCTCAGAGAGGCCCGTCGGCTGTCCAGCGCCGCCCGTGTGCGGGACCCAGTGTCAACGCCCTGCCCGTTTTTGTGTTTTAGAATTTGAGGAACGAAGAGCAGGTTGCCATAATCCAGGCCGGAACGGTGCTTGCCCTGTGTGAAAAGGTAGAGCCCGGCGCGTTTCTGTCCGTGACCTTGTCCGAGCTGCCCAGCACCACCCGAGAAACTACGCCGGTGTCTCGCTTTGCGTGGCGCATGCGTGTCTGTCCGTCTGCATGCGCACGTGCACGCCGTGGGTTTCCACCAGCAGCTCGCTCAGCCGCCCAGGAAACTCCGACCGGGGAAGGCGATGACTCCCCGTCGAGGGAGCCGCCCCAGCACTGGGCCTAGCTCCTTCCGATGCCCCAGGCCCGTTTTCTAAACCCACCCAAACTCATACTTGACTTCCAGTGTTTGTCCTGCTTCCTAAGAGCCCATCACTGAACGGCCCCTTATCCACCGTGTGGCCACACCATGAGTTACTTAATGTCCCCTCCCTGAAGATACTGAGGGTGTTTCCACTTCCTTTTCTTTTTTTTTTTAAATCCTCATCCGAGGACATTTTTCCATTTTTTGTACAGACAGAGTGGGAGGGAGAGAGAGGAAGAGAGAGAGAGGGAAACATCGATGTGAAAGGGACACATCGAGTGGCTGCCACCCGCACGACCAACCAGGGCCGGGGACAAACTGCAACCGAGGTACACGCCCTTAGCGGGAACCGAACCCGGGTCTCTCCGACCGCAGGTGGACGCTCTAACCGCTGAGCCAAACCGGCCAGGGCTCCACTTCCTTTTCTATTTACCGTCCTGCAGCGGTGAACTGCATTTCCCGTAAGTTTCTATCTACCATTTAAAACACGTCCACAGGCTAGATTCTGGACGTGGAACCGCTGGTAAGGAACTTTCGAAGCACTTTGAAACGGTCCACATGGTTTCCGGAACAGTGGTACCGCGGTGCTGGTTTCTTGGTCAATGTGGCATGAAATCAGAGGGCTCTGCCCCCGTGACAGGAGAAGACTCTGTGACGTCATCGTTTTCGTCTTCATTTACTTGCCTGCCAGCGGCATTGAGTGTATGCTGTGGGCTATCTATTTTCTTCTTCCTTGTGAGTGGCAATGACATCTCTTTGGACAGTTTTCTATTGGGTGTGTTGTTCGTTCATTCATTCAACGCGTGTTTGTTATAATTATGGCTTTTCTTACTGACTTCTGTGTGCTTTACACATCACAGATAGTAACTTTCTGCCATATTTGTTAAAAACGCAGCCCTAGACTGTCTACCTTTTACATTAGTTTAGGATACTTCAGTTATACACAATTTTTGTGTTTTTTTTTTTAATCCCCACCCAAGGATATTTTTCTCTTTATCTTCAGATAGAGTGGAAGAGAGGGAAGGAGAGAGAGAGAGAGAAACATTGATGCAAAAGAGACACATCGACTGCTTGCCTCCTGCATGACCCCAACCAGGGCCGGGGATGCACCACAACCAAGGTAGGTGCCCTTGGCTGGAATCGAACCCATGACTCTTTGGTCCGCCAGCAGATGCTCTAACCGCTGAACCAAACTGGCCAGGGCTATACACAGTTTTTTATGTAGTCCTATCTATAGATCTTTTCCTTTCAAAGCACATGAGTTTAACTTTAAAATGCTAAACTCAGCCTTGGCTGGTTTGGTTCAGTGGTTAGAGCGTCAGCCCGCAGACCGAAGGGTTGCGGGTTCAATTTCTGGTCAAGGGCACATACCTGGGTTGCAGGTTTGATCCCAGCTCTGGTGGGGGTGCGTGTGGGAGGCAATCAATTGATATGTCTCTCTCATAGTGAGACATAGGTCTCTTTTTCTCCCCCTTTCTCCCTCGCATTCTATCTAAAAACCAGTGGGCAAATATCCTCAGGTGAGGATTAACAAAACCAATTGCGCACTTTATAATGGTGAGGTGTTTATCTCACTCAGGATTCCTCTGGAATCTTTGGGCATTTAAAGGGAAATAGTGCCCTGGCCGGTTTGGCTCAGCGGTTAGAGCGTCGGCCTGCAGTCCAGAGACACCCGGGTTCGGTTCCCGCTAAGGGCACGTACCTCAGTTGCAATTTGTCCCCGGCCCCAGTTGGAGTCGTGTGGGTGGCGGCCAGTCGATGTGTCTCTCTCACATTGATGTTTCTCTCTCTCTCCCCCCCCTCTCTCCCTCCCGCTCTATCTGAAGATAAATGTAAAAATATCCTGGGGTGAGGATAAAAAAAATAATTGGAACTAGTTCTTCCCTGAGTGTCTGTCCATCCTCACCCATCATGGGGAGGGCACCATGTGTTGCTAACAGACTGATGGCAGAGCCTTATCCGAGGTCACACAGGTGGTAGGCGGGGCCTTCTGTCACTCATCCGTCACTCAGCTGGCTGAGTCTGTCCTCAGGTGGACGGAGGGAGATGATGGCTGGCAGGGGCTCACTGGTGCAGGTCGCCACGCAGTGCTGAGTGCGTGGTGTGCATTCAGTGACCATCCCTCTCATCAACAGATGGCCTGTGACCGTCCTGCCTCCCATGACAGTGGTCCAGGCAGTGTTATGTGAAGTGCTGAGTAAACACTATGACTTCAGTATTCACATTTGCTCACTCATTCACTGAGAAAATGTCTCCGAGCCCTGGCACACCGGGAGGACGTGGCCGGGTGGGACCCACCAGGGCCCTGCTCGTCCTCAGAGAGGCCCGGCCTGGGTTGACTCTCAGCCCACCCTTGCCCGCTGCTGGGGGTCTCGGAATCCCGCTGAGCTGATGGCAGGGTGTCTCCCAGGGTTGGTGTCGGGATGGGGACATGGCACACTGGAGCAGGACCGGACACCTGGCGCACGGCACGGGTCCAGAGGTGTCTGAGCAATGCTTATGCGTGGTGACCAGAGCAGGAATGGCCGGTGGCTCGGGGGTGGGGCTGAGGCAGTGGGTGTGGGGGGATGGAGGGTTCTTCCTCTCTCCAGTGCCCAGATCTCCTGGAGGGTGGCTCTGGGGGAAGTTCACAGCCTGACTGAGAGTTTCTCCCACCAGGTCCTTCCCCACAGGCTCCTCCTCACACCCAGCCAATGGCCGGTGTCCCAGACCCAGGCCTCGGGGCCCCCAGCGACCCTGTGAGATTAACAGTACACCCCCTTGTATGGTGGAGGAAATGGGTTCTGCCTGGCACGTGACTGTGGTCTGTTCGTCCCTGCGACCCACTCACTTTCTCTAGCCCCTTCCAGCTGCTGCCCGCTGGCCCCCGACCCCAGAATCCTGCCAAGTGGTCAGCCGGGTGCCACGCGCTGTGCCCGGACTGCCAAAAGCTATGCCGGCCTCCCGCCCCCGCCAGCTCCTCACGAAATCCCACGCGGGTGGGTGGGAGCAGGGGCTGGTCCCGGGCGCATGTGGAGGGGGCCCGACTCCGTCAGGTGGGCAGGGCCCAGCTCCCCTCTTGGGACAGTTTTTGGGAGTAAGACTTAGACGGTGTTTTCTCGTCCGGCCACATGTCCGCGCGTAAAGGTGAAAGGTTTGGGAGTTGCTGTCTGTCTCCCTTAGAGAGAGTGGAGGTACTGAGGGTGAACCCCTCATGAAGTGGGTTGGTGGGTCACCTGAGAACGATGACAGCCGGGGTGACTACCCGTCCGGCTCAGGACCCAGTGTTTTCCTGAGACATGGGAATGTCAGTGCTGAAATGGGGACAGTCCCCGTCAAACAGGACGAGGTGGTCACCCCGGAGCTGATGAGGCTGGAGGAAAGTTCTCGGTGAGATGGAGGCCCGGCCCTGGACCCTCAGCCAGCCCCTCAGCCAATCACCGCACTTGAAAGGTTGTCACTCAAACGAGTACCTGACGATACAGGTCAACTTCAGTTTTCTGTTGGGGGCACGAGGCTGCCTCGCAGCCTGAGCGCCACTCACATGGGTCAGGGATGCCCAGGATGCTCCCGGACGACCCCGCTGCAGATGCACCTGTATGGGGTGTGCTACCCCCCCCCCACACACACACACCTGGGAAGCCCTCTGGTTAGCAGAGTCCAAGGTCAGGGGCTGTGTCTTGCACATGCCCAGCAGAGCAGCCTGGACACAGGACCCCGGAGGGTTTACAGGTGATGGTGAGTCACACCTCTTCCCCCTCAAGCTCAAAACCAATCAGCAAGACGGAAGTTTTAAAACATCCATGGTCCCTCTGGTAACAGCGCACCAGAGATGCGGCTTAGGCGTGCGCCACAGTCAAACTTTCTAACAGTTGGCCTGGAGGCGAGGCCTTGGGGCCCTTCTCTGAAGGGAAAATTATGTCGAGAGGAGGGAGCCCCACCCCCACGCCCAGCTCGGGGGCTCAGCCTTGCACCTGTGGGCTGTGCGAGCTGGTGCAGGTGCAGTACAGCTGCCAGGCTTCCCGCAGACGCCCCGGGACCTGTGGGGCTGGTCACCTGTGCCCTGGGGCGGGGGAGGCAGGACAGTGACAGAGCCCTGAGCTTGCAGGCTCTCAGTCCCTGAACGAGGCCCAGGAGACATGGGCAGACTCTGGGATGTGAAATTTGTGACCTCACCCGCCCAAGGTGCTTGTGACCCGAGTCTCGGTTCTCATTTCCTCGCCTGCATGCTGGAAAGGACTGGTCCCAGGTTTTCTTTGTGTGCACAATATGCCCATCAATCTTTTTTATTTAAATATAGTTTTATTGATTTTTTTTTTTTTCAGAGAGAGAGGAAGGGAGAGAGAGAGAAACATTGATGTGAGAGTAAAACATCAATTGACTGCCTCCTGCACGCCCCCTACTGGGGGTTGAGCCCACAACCCAGGCATGTGCCCTGACCTCAGTCCATGGAATGATGCTCAATGCACTGAACCACACTGGACGGGCTCAAATCTTTTGTTAACAAGGAAAAACCTGATGTCACTTTCTGCAAAACCTGTTCTGAGAGTAGTTCATCATAGTGACTTAACCTGGATTTTCCCCATTAAAATTTTATTTTTTTCATGACTACCTACATTAGGATATTAAAATGAAATTGTTTTCCCCGTAAAAATATGCTTACCCGTTTCTCGGACAGCACACGCCCTCTCGGAGAGTCTAGCAGGACGCCGTGCGGGGGCCTGCCTCAGCCGCGGGGCCGGGCCGGTCTGCTCTCGGGGCCAAGCTCACCGGGCTCTGGGGAGGGCCCTCTGGTCATAGCCGTCCGTCAAGTCTTGTTCTCTGTGGGGCCACACACACCGCCCCCCGCCCGCACACCCGCACCTCCTCCTTCACGCAGCATCTCTTCCTGCCAGGCCGTGGGCTGGGGAAGGACATTCTTTAACCCTCACCCAAGAATGTTTCCATTGATTTTTTTAAATTTTATTTGAGAGAGAGAGAGAGAGAGAGACATCAGCTGGCCTCCTGCATGCACCCAACCAGGGATCACACCTGGGACCTATGTTTGTGCTCTGACCAGCCATTGACCCCACAGCCTTTCTGGTGTATGGGATGACGCTCCAACTACTGAGCCAGGGCTAAGTAAGGACATTTAATAGACTGTGTCCCACGTGGTCCCCACTTTCGGAGGGCTAGTGTGGGAGGGAAACTGACAGTAGCAGTCTGTCGGGTGACTGCAGTGACAGGCACTCACAAGATGACATGGGGATCCCTGGAGGACACCTGACCCCATGGACTCAGGAAGCAGGGCAGGCTTCCTGGAGGAGGAGGCAGCGGCTAGCTCAGGCCTGTAGGCTGAGTAGGTACAGCTTACTAAAGGCCTGGGGCTGAGACGGGGGTTGGGACAGGTGGTGGTGTTCCAGGCAGAGAGAGGAAGCATGTGCAAAGGCCCTGAGGTCAAAGGAAGTTTGACTTGTCTGAGGGGCAGAGCTTGTCAGGGGTGATTGGGATATGGGGTGTCCTTGAGGCTGTAAGCAGCACCAGGGAAGTTCTTCAAGTGGATGATGTGTGTGGGGAGCTGAGGCTGGAGGGCTGGCAGACAGAGATTCTGCGTGAGCCTGGAGGCTGAGAGGGGCCTGAGCTGGGGGGTGCAGTGGGGAGGGAGACGGTGGGTGGGTTTGAGAGAGGAGGCAGAAACAACTCTGGGAAGGGAAGGGGCGGGAGGAGCCAAGGCTGCTCCCAGCTTCCTGGTTTGGGGGCGTGGAAGGAGGTGTGCACAGGAGTGGGGGGCGTGTCTGGGCTGTGGAAGACATCTCAGAGAAGCAGGAGCCATGGGTAGTGGGAGGTCAGGTGACGGGGACGGCCCAGGGCAGGGTTCCTAGGAAACCAAGAGTCCAGGGCGAGGAGGACTCATCTGACAGCTCAGGGGGCTGGGCATTAGGAGAGGGCAGGGTCCACTGGCAGAGGGACAGGGAGGTGTCCGCTGGCTGCAGCAGTGAGGTCACACACATTCCTACCTGATGTCCAGCCCGGACCCTGCACACACCCACAGGCCTGGGCACCAGTTACGAGGCCTTCCTCCATTTCTCAGGTGGGCTCCGCACAAGGGCTCGCCTGCGTGCCACACCTGGGAAGCAGCTGCCGCCTCCCTTCGCCCCGTGGCAGGTGCGCCTGCCCCTCCCCTCAGCCCCCTGGAGCCCTGGCACTCAGCACTGTGGGGCTTCAGGTCCTCGCAGTGTGCACCCCTGCATGGCTGGACCCCCTCTGCTGCTGCGTCCTAGGGTGCCCCTGGGGACTGCAGGGGGCAGTGCTGAGAGCTAGGCTCAGAAGGCCTGCACCCCAACATGTGATCTTGGACAAGTGACTTAACTCCACTTGCAAAGTGGGGTGATGCTGCCTACTCTATGGGGGTGCTGTGAGAGGGCCGTTGAGGGCCCGGGCCTGAACCCACCAGCACCCCACTCGGCTGACAGGCCTCAGACACTCACTGCCCAACTGCAGAGTCTCGGATGCCCACACTCCAGCCTTCTACGCTGGGTCCGCTGTGCACTCTGCAGGCTCCCATACTACATGTGCCACCTGCGTCCTGCACGCATGGGCTCACCTGGGCACACGCCCACACCCTCCACAGGCACACGCACATGCCGATCCCCCAGCAGACATCCAGCGCCCCGAGTCCTCTGCACAGGCTGCAACTGTGCTCTGCGGACCCCATCTCCGAGCAGGAGCCCGGCCGGGAGGAGGTCCCTCGCCCGCCCAGCCCTTGCACAGCCCCGTCGGCGGTGGTTCTCACGGCTGCCCTTCTGTCCCGCTCTTTTCCAGTGGCTGAAGCAGATCGAGGGGACCGAGGCGGCCCTGACCCAGAAGATGCTGGACCTGGAGAAAGAAAAGGTAAAAGCCTTGAGCCCGGGAGGGAAGAGGCTGAAGGAGCTCAGGCGACCTGCTCCCCTGTGTTTTCACGTTGTCTCCTCACATGAATTTCCACTGCTCTCGCTGGGATGCGTTCCGGGTAACGGATGACCACCCGTTCGCTCCTTGTTCCCGCACTGTAGGTTTGGGTGCCTCTGCTGTCCACGCCTGGCTTAGAGGTTCATTACCAGGCGGGCCCCGGCCACCAGGAGCGAAAGTCAATAGGGCTGTGCTCCTGAGCGACAGCAGGTGCGGCGTGACATAGGAGAGCATGCTGTCACCGATGGGGGCACTTGTCCCCGGAGACGCACAGACACGGCTCCGATCTTCACTGTTCCTTAGAGGCTGGAGAGCCTGGACGCTGGACCTGTTTCCTCGTTGATACCGGGGGTTCTGTCTCCACCTTGCTGGGCGGTGGGGCTGCGAGACCCCAGATACACAGCCTGCTTTTGCACAGACTGGGCATATGCGGGCACCTAACAGTGCTTATTCAGGGGCCTGTGGGCGGGGTACGGGGAGGGAGCCCGGCGGGGGTGTCAGACAGGCAGTGGTGGAGTCTTCTTGGTAGAAACGGGAGGAAGGAAGGAGCGGAAGGAAAGCGCAGTGTGTGGTGTGGGAAGAGCCCTGGGCTGTGATCCGGGGTCTGGGGTTTTAGTCCTACCTGTCGCCAGGCAGCTGGCCTCCAGGGCGAGGCACTGGTCCTCTCGGGCCTGCTGGTTCCTCGTCTATAAAATCAAGTGGCTGCAGCCCTGGCCGGGTTGGCTCAGCGGTTAGAGCATCGGCTCGTGGACCAGACAGACCAGGGTTCGGTTCCCGCTGAGGGCACGTACCTCGGTTGCAGTTTGTCCCCGGCCCCGGTTGGGGGCAACCACTCGATGTGTCTCTCTCACATCGATGTTTCTCTCTCTGTCTTCCTCCCTCTCTCCCTCCCACTCTGTCTGAAGATAAATGCAAAAGTGTCCTCGGGTGAGGATAAAAAAATTTAAAAATAAAATAAAATCAAGTGGCTGCAATATGTGAGCACTAACCCTGAAACCCTCGAATTCCCGATAGAGATTTGCCATCTGGAGAGACAGTGCCTGTGGGACAGAGCGTGGGACCTGGATGGCAGGGGAGGGACAATGGGACGGTGGTACTGACCAGGAGGTGGTGACGTCCCTTTGTGTGGGGAGCAAGAGCTGCACCCGGGAAGTATTATGCTGGTCTGCGGGAGCCACCAGATGCAGCTAGTGGGACCGAGGGGGTGCGAGCGACCCAGGCTTGGGAGCCAGGCTGGAGGGGGCTCTTCACGGTGGTCAGACCCCCACAGGGGCCCTGAGGAGTCAGCACAGGCTCGTGCAGAGTCCCAGCCTGCGAGGCTCCTGCTCGGGGATTCGGAGCAGGGCAGACCACCCCGTCCCTTCGGAACCCCAGGGCCCCGACTCTCGTCCCCAACCTGGGGAGGCTGTCACTGTAGCCATAGGAGTAGGTTGGCTCTGAAGAGCCACCGTGTGGTGGTCCGCGAGCCGCCCTTGACCTTGGCGCCTCCTCTTTTCCAGGACCTGTTCAGCAGGCAGAAGGGCTACCTGGAGGAGGAGCTGGACTACAGGAAGCAAGCCCTGGACCAGGCGTCCCTGGTAGGACCGGGCGGGGGCTGGGCGCTTTGGCTGCGGTCTCCTCTGGGGCTGAGACTCGAGAGTTCCCACCGCGTCGCCCTGGCCGGTTTGGCTCAGCAGTTAGAGCGTCAGCCTGTGGTCCACAGAGACCCGGGTTCGGTTCCCGCTAAGGGCATGTACCTCGGCTGCAGTTTGTCCCCGGCCCTGGTTGGGTCGTGTGGGTGGCAGCCACTCGATGTGTCCCTTTCACATCGATGTTTCTCTCTCTTCCTCTCTCTCCTTCCCGCTCTATCTGAGTAAAAAATGGAAAAATGTCCTCGGGTGAGGATAAAAAAAAAAAAAAAATTAGCAGAGAGTTCCCACCGCGGTCTGGGAGCCGTGGGAACACCTGCGCGTCGTGATGGGAATGACCGCAAGATACACGGTCAATTTTCCAAGCCCATCGTGATTTTCAAAAATAGCTTGATGGTTTTGTTTTTGGACATGATTGTTTAATTCTAGCAATCATTTCAGGTGAATATTAAAAAAACAGCACCTTTTTTATGTTTGGTTATACGTAAATATTTATTTATGCTTAAATCCTCAAAGCACGTGTTCCTACGATTAGGAAAGAGAGGCGGTCACAAAGGAGCCCAGAGGCAAAGCATGAGTGGGGGCTGATTGATCATCAGGGCAAAAATGGAGTTGTGAGGGCTTCTGCAATACTGTTTTTTAAAAGATTTTAAAATACGGATCTTGAAAGAGAGAGGAAGGGCAAGGGGGAGAAGGAGAGAGATCGTGCGAGTGGAACATTGGATCAGCTGCCCCCTGCACGCCCCCTGCTGGGGAAGGAGCCCAAGTCCAGGCACGTGCCCCATCCGGGAACTGAACCGGCGACCTTTCAGTGCACTGGATGAAGCCCACGCTGCTGAGACACCAGCCAGGGCCAGTATTGCTTTTTCTGCCACAAGATTGGTTCTGGGTTTCCTGGTAACTACCGTCAATGATCATGTTCAGGTTCATGTGTCATATGGTTTTGAGGACACTGAGTGCTCCTGGTACTGAGGGGAGGGGGAGACAGTTCCAGGACGTCCCCACAGCATGGGGGACGGAGAGTTCGATGACACGCCTTGCAGGAAGAAGCAGGGTCCTATGCAATCTGGAGCAAGTCTCTGCCCGGATCACTTGTAGTTAAAATCATTGTGCAAAACGGGTTTACACCGAAGAATGCAGTCAGTAACTGAAAACACTCGCATCTCCGTTTCCATGACATCTCCAGGGAGACAGCAGGGCCGGGGCCTAGCACGGATGGGAGCCTGTGGCATCCGGCTGGTCCACCTCGCGTGGCCCTTGGCCCTGCGTGCCCGCTCTGAGGCCTGAGCGCCCCGGGCGGCCGGAGACTCAGGGGCCAGAGGGCTCCTCTGTTTCCCCCCAGGTCTCATTTCTGGGCACACAGCGTTAGAACAGTGCTTAGGGGTGGTTTGAAAATGGGAACACTCACCCTTCTCTCGCCTTCTTTCACAGTTTTGGTTTTTCCTTGATTCTGTGCAGTCGGGGTCCTTCTGCAAACGCCCTCCCCCCACACCCCACGCCCTTTCTGACGTGCAGCCCTCACCTAGAATTTCCCCCGAAGTCTGGGGGACGCCATTTGAGGGGTACTACAGGAGCTTCCGGCCAAGGCCCGGGGGCTGCAGGAGAATGAGTGTGGGGAACCCTGAAGGGCCTCAGGTCATTGATATGCTAAAGGTGGCTGAGCTGGGACAGGGACATCAACTCACCAACGAGCGGTTGGCCGAGTTCACTGGGCCGAGGGCCTCTTCTCCAGGGGCAGCTTCTAAGTCGTGTTTCCCGACACGTGGCGGAAAACCTGGTGCCAACGTGCCATGTGCAGAACGGCCCTGGGGACCCGGAGGCCCAGTCCTGCAGAGGAGGCCCCTCTGAAGTGGGGGTTCGGGCCCACAGTGAGACTGAGTTCTGACCCCGTGCTAGACTGGCTTCAGCAGCCAGGGAGCCACGTTCCAAGAGGGTGGCGGTGCCGTGTGCTGGCAGGAGGAGCCCACATGGGGACCCCCTGCGTGCCAGCGAACAGACTCCCACCTTTAGCGTCCCGGGGCGATCTGGGGTAGAGGAGGGGAGGCGATGCCGAGGTGGAGCTGTCCCGACCCGGTGGGCCCGGATCCAGGGAGTTAGCAGGCTGTGCTGAAGCTCGATGAGGCTGGAGAAGCAGCTGGCCACCAGCAGCAGGGGGTCGCCTGTATTGACGCCCCTGCCTCAAAACACCTCTTACTTCTTGTCAGTTTTCACCCAAACAGATGCCTGGTCTTAGGACCGGGAGCCACTCCTTAGGACGGGACGTGCGTGGGGACTTGGGGGCGGAGAGGAAGAGAGTTCTCCTTGGTCCCTAGGCATTCCCTAAGGTCCCCATGTCAGCGTGGGCTGTGCCGCTGAAGGGAAGTAGCCTCTCCTGCGATAAGAACACTGCGCTCTCGCAGGGCTCCAGCTGGCCGCTGGCCTCTCGGCCGCTTTGCGAACCGAGGGCGTCTTCCTGTTTCAGGGTGCAGGGTCAAGAAGCACATTGCCCCCGTTCGGTTTGGGTAAACCTGCATTCCGAAGCAGCCAGCTGAAAACCGAGTGGGAGCCCTCGGCAGCCAGGATAAAAGGGGAACTTGCTCCCAAGGTCGGGGAGTAATCGGAAGCAGGGACAGAATAAGAACTGGTCGAATCCCACCTTTAAGGGGGGGTTACAGTGATTCGTTCTTGGATCCAGTAGGACACATGCTTGGAGTGTGTGCACGGGGCCGGGCGGGGCTCCCTCACCTCGCTGCCGTGGCTACTGGCTGCTCTGCTCAGTCCCTGCGGCGCCCCCCCTGCCCGGCCGCAGGGTCCTGGTCAGGGTGCTGGCTGTGACATCCACCCGTTTGTGACCGTCCCCTGTCTGTGATTGGGGCCACTCAGAAAATCCAGGAGCTGGAGGCCACGCTGTACAACGCGCTGCAGCAGGAGCCGGGCCAGAAGGCCAGCGAGGCGCTGAGCGCGGGCCAGCGGGAGGCGCTGCAGGCGGCCGTGGAGAAGGTGCGCAGGCAGATCCTGAGGCAGAGCCGGGAGTTCGACAGCCAGGTGCTGCGGGAGCGCATGGAGCTGCTGCAGCAGGCCCAGCAGGTGAGGCGGGCGGCCGCGCTCCACCCACGGCCCGTGGGCACCCCTGTGCCTAGCGTCCCGGCACCAGCTGACCACAGGCCATTGCAGTACCCTCCTGCCAGCCATCCCCCCACCGCGCCGCTTTCTAACACACCACCTAGCACCACCCCTCCCCAAGGACCCTCCTTGGCTCCCCATTGCCCAGAGAGAAAGCCTGAGTTGCTTAGCCCGCAATCCTGAGCCCTCCGGGCCCATGCCGGCCACAAAATGCATCCTCCTCCTCTCTCTCGTCATACCGTTTCTGTTTGTAACGTTTCTGGCATCTGTGTACCAAGCACTGTTCCAGGTGCTGGGACACCAACTTGCCCTCATAAAGCTTTGCCCAGTGTGGGGACACAGACCTGTGCTGGCACCCAGGAGGGCTCACACCACCACTGTGAGTGGGAGCCACTGACAAGTTTCACAGGTGGGGACAATGCGGCTCAGAGAGGGAGAGCAACTTTCTCAAGGTCACACAGCCAGGAAGCAGCAGAGCTGGGATGTGAAACAGGTCATCAGACCATGAAACCCTCACCCACTGCTCCTTCTGGCCGCCCCTCCCCTGGGGAGAGTCTGGCCTGCGTTAGTGTCTCCTCCTCGGAAAGACCAGACGGACAGCCAGCTTCTCGGGGGAACTTGGAAGCCCAGAGTTGTTCGTGGGGGATTCGTGCAAATCCTTTGAAAGCTGCAAAGCATTATCCCTCCTCCACGAGGCACTGAGGGTTACATGGCACCCTCCCCGGTCCTCATTTCGGGGTCAGGGGTCACTGTGCAGATAGTATGGAAGTGGGGTTCACGCAGAGAGAGATCACAGGACTCCCCAGAGTCCACCCGTGGGTCCGTGTGAGGCTGAGCTCTGTGCTCGCCCTCAGATGCCTGCTGCCTCCCGCCTTGCAAGGGGGCCCTCGGGGACCCTCAGGCCACACACGGTCCCCCCGTGGAGGAGAAGTTCTGGTTTCCTGCCCTTTGTGGCGTCCGCACTCTGAGCACGTCACGCGGGTCCACGCGCTCAGTCCTGACACGGCCGGCGCGTCTTCCCCGCTCACCGATAAGGAAGCCGGAGCTGGCGGGGCCGAGACACCCCGGCGTCCACTTCGCGGCATGAGCATTTCTCGAGTCTCTCCATCCCGATCCAGCCTGTTTTCCTGCCACCACGATCCTTCTAACAGGAGGATCCCTGCTTATAGCCCTTCACTGCCCCGGCCCGAGACACCCCCAACGCTGTGAGCTCCCCTTCAGCAATTCCAGACCCTCCATCTGGCCTCTGCTCTCATGTCCCCCACGGGTCCCATCTGGCTTCTGTGCTTCCTCTGGGCTCCCCAAGCCTGATGCTCCACCAACACCCCCACCTGCTCGGGGTGGAGGGGTTTCCCCATGACTCTGCACTCCCCATGTGCCCCATCTACAGAGTTGTGTGTGGCCACTGTCTGAGCCTGATTGGACCACAGACTTTGCCAAGGGGGGACTGTCTCTCCCAGGCCGGAAACAGGCCCTGGGCACATTGAGCCATATTTGCTGAGTGGGTGGACGTGCCCCCAGGGCTGCTCCTCACAGTGGGGTCCCTGGGCCAGCAGCATCTGCACCACCCAGAACTATGGGGAATGAGGTTCTCAGGTCGGAAACGCTGGCGGGGACCCAGCCATCTGCGCTATGGCAAGCCCTCCAGAGGCTGCTGCCCGAGGTCGAATCCCGGCCCTGCAGCAGGCATGGAGGGCGTCCGGGCCTGGGGGAGGGTCCAGACACGTGCTCATCCCGCTGACCTGCGAGCACTCTCGGTGAGCGAGGCGCCCACCTGCAGCCAGGCCCTGCAAGCTGCCAGCTGTCTGGGCATGCAGCACGGGGGAGGGGAGGCGAAGGGTTACCCGGCATATGACAAACCGGAAGGCTGGACTTGCCAGCACCCCTGGGTAGGGGGCCGAGAGGAACAGACGGGAACAGATGAGTAAACCACAGAGGGAGAGTGGGTGCCCCCAGGGACATTCAGCAGGCACAGTACCACCTGCAGGGTGACACAGTGTGCCCAGGACTGGGGGTTCCGGAACCCCGGACTTTCAGTGCTAAAGCCAGGAGGCCGCAGGCACACGGGACCGTCTGGGTGGAGGCTGCAGCCATGCCTACCCATTCGCCTCCTCTGCCCCTGCTCCTGGGGTCTGGCTAAATAGATCACAAAATTCGGTGCCACTTCAAATCCGCGATCCTGCGCAGGGCACCTCCATGCCTGGGTCCCGTCGTGAGTTTACGTTTCAAAGAGACCCTGTCTTAGGAGTGTGCCCCATCTAATTCCCATGCACTTCCAGAACAGGCAAGGTCAGTCCTCGGTGTGAGGTCGGGACAGCGTTCCTTGGGGGCCCGAGAGCCTCCTGGGTGCCGGAGAGGCTCTGGACCTGGGTTCGGGGGGTGGTGACGCCGGCCTGAGCGCGTGCACCAGCCAGGCCGCTGCCCACTGGCGGTCCACGCTCCGTGGCCCCGTTCTGCTCCGGGGAGGCAAGGAGGGCTGAGGGTTGGGGCAGGAGGAGTCGCTCCTGACACACGACGGGCTGTGTTTCAGAGAATCCGCGACCTGGAGGCTAAGCTGGAGGTCCAGAGGCGGCACCTGAAGGAACTGGAGGAGAAGGTGGGTGGTGGCAGCCCGGCCGTCCCCTGGGTTTGTGTCCATGAGACGTAGGCCTGGAGTCTTCTCTCCTGCCTGCCCTGCTGTCCGAGCCACCCCTTGTCTGCCTGTCCCCCCGAATCGGCACGTCCAAGAAACTAGTGTCTGCCTCGAACACTTTTCTAGGGAACAAAAGTGCAGTTTGGGATCAACTTTGTGTGGGGTGCACACAGGATGTCTTGTTTTTCCCCCACAAAAGACCTCCCGACCTCCCTCTGAAGCCTTCTGCTGCCACCTTACTAGGAAGCATGAGTGACCCCCTCTTGTGAGCGGTAAAGCAGCCGCAGACGTTGGTTCTCTCCCGGGGACTTGGTCACCTTCAGTGACCTCCATCTGCCGAGGCCGGTGTGTGTCCTGGGAAGTCTCTTCCCTCCCAGACAGACGCGAGGTGGCCCGTGTGTGTTGATACCTGCCCCGTTTGTCTTCCTACAATTATTACTATTTTATGGGAGAGGAAACTCAACCTGAGAAAGATTCAGATGCTGGCCCATGATCCCACGGCTGGCCGGGGACCGCTGGGGTCTCCAGGGATGTGGCAGCCACCCCAGGAGCCCCTCCACCACGCCGTCGGTGCGGGCAGACAGAGGAGTCCTGCTCGGGACCACGCGGGGTGGCTTTGCTGTGGCATTTCCCACTGCCACCCAGCACCCCGCGGCCAGGAGTCCTTGAAGACAAGGATGCTCTTAGGTGTCCCTTCATCCGAGACAGTTCTTGCCCCAGGACAGGGGTCGTCACGTGTTTGCAGAACGAATGACACCCAGGCAGGGAAAACCCCCATCATCACACACCTTGTCCCAGCGGTGAGCTGACATGTGCCCACAGTGAAGCCCCACCCGCCGGGAGGCTCAGCAGGGACACGCGTCCCAGGGGTGACCCCAGGCTGAATCTGGAAGGGCAGTGCGCAGTGGCCCCCGGGAAGGAGGAGAAAGGGCATCTGTGGGCCTCCGTCGTCTGCTGCGGATCTTGTGAGCCAGGGAGCCTGCTCACACCTCAGGCTCAGCAGGGCCACCACCAGAGGGCGCTCAGGGCTCCTCGAAATGAGATGGCAGCTTCTCCCTGTCCGGGAGGGACTCGAACAAGTGTGCCCAAAGAGACAGCAGTGCTACCCCAGCTTCAGAAGCGCCCTTTGCTTTCGGCGGATTAGGTCACCTTCCTGCCATAGTCCCATCATCTGGGCCTGGGGGCCTCCAGCCTGCACAGCCTGCAGTGTCCTCAGGGGGGCAGCAGAGGGTCAAGGTGGGGGCCAGTTCTGCCAGCAACCTGGAAGCCCCGGTGGGAATTTCGGTTGAAGCAGTTTCCTTGAGTTCACATCTGCCGATGTCCACACCCCCACAGCTCTGGTTTTGAGGACCCGAGGGGGTCTCCAGTGTGATTCCACTGGAGAACTTCCCTGGGATAACCTGGCGTCGCCGAGATGTGTTCGGCCTCGGCTCCTGGCTGGCCGCGGTGGTTCTGAGGCCCTGGGCGGTGCATCCCTCAGCCCACCTGCAGAGGGCACTCTTCATCTCCGGGGTGGTGCTGAGGCCCTGGGCGGTGCATCCCTCAGCCCACCTGCAGAGGGCACTCTTCATCTCCGGGGTGGTGCTGAGGCCGGGATGAGACTGAAAGTGAGGCTGGAGTCCGAGGCCCGGCCAGGGCGGGGCCGCCAGCAGTCATTCTGGGGCCGCCCCAGGCTCGACAACTGTGTGGGCAGATGGGTCACAGAGCAAAACCTGACAGAAAAGGCTTAAAGCACGTCACAGGTGTTCTTGCCGATTAAAAAGTTGGCAAGGCCCTGAGCAGGGGGAGGGTCTGGGAAATGCTGAAGCCCCCTGGCTCGTTCTCCTCCTTTCCCCAAGCAAATGTTTGTGGGTGGGCCTGTCTCCTCTGGCATGACGGCGGCTCCGAGGCTGGCCCTGGAGCGGACGGACCTGGTCAGGCCTGTAGGGCGTTCAGCCACGGCGCGCCACCCTCGTGGCTGCGTGAGTGCCACTGGCCTGTGTGGGCAGAAAGATAACTGTGGCTACCGTCGTCAGTGATCGGGGACCCTTTCCCGGCACACCCCACGGGGTGGCCTTGGCAAGTCCTTCCTGCCCCGGGCCTCGATCTCCCCTTGTGGAAAGTGAAGAGCTAGGTGAGTCCTTAGGCCCCTTCTGGCTGTAACTGCCCTGTTTGTAAAACTGGTTTCAAAGTTGGCCATCTGTTTGAATTTTAAAACTTTTAATAGCCCTGGCTGGTTTGGCTCAGCAGTTAGAGTGTCGGCCTGCGGTCCGGAGAGACCCAGGTTCGGTTCCCGCTAAGGGCATTTGCCTTGGCTGCAGTTTGTCCCCGGCCCTGGTTGGGTTGTGCGGGTGGCAGCCACTCGATGTGTTCCTTTCACATCGATGTTTCTCTCTCTCTTCCTCTTTCTTGCCCTCCAGCTCTATCTGAATAGAAAATGGAAGAATGTCCTCTGGTGAGGATAAAAAAAAAGAAAAAGAAAAAAAAACATTTAATAAATAATACTGGAAAGCTATTACCTTTTTTGGGGGGGGAAAAAACACAAGACTTCCTTTTAAAAGCCACAGATGATGTTGAGACATGTTTTACGGAGCAATTCTTTTTGAACGAAACAGGTTATGAGTAACTTAGGAAAGAACAAAACCTATCCTCACACTGGCCTGTGTATTTGCTCCTTTAAAGCCCTTTCCCCTGATATTCTTTTCTTGTCATTAATCCTCACCAGAGGATATTTCTTTCCATTGATTTTTGGAGAGTGGAAGGGAGGGAGGGAGAGGGGGAGGGAGAGGGAGAGGGAGAGAGGGGGAGAGAGAGAGAGCGAGAGAGACATCGATGTGAGAGAGACACGTTGATTGATTGGTTGTCTCCCGCATGACCTCGACTAGGGTCAGAGATCAAACCTGCAACCCAGATACAAGTCCTTGACTCGATTCAAACCCACGACCTTCTGGTGCTCGGGCTGATGCTCTAACCGCTAAGCCACACCAGCCAGGGCTATGTTTTTCTTTTTAAAATAGACTAATCAAATGGCGGAAAAAATTGAATTTAGTGAGTCTCCTGGGAGCGGGAGCCCTGGCGGGGGTGGTGGAGGGGCAGGGTTCGGTCCTCTCCAGTTTGGACTGCTGACCTGTGCCTCGGAGTAGAAGGCCCTTCTGTAAGGCCCTCGGGTGGGAGCCCCAACCCTGACCAGGGGGTCCTTTTGCTACATGCACTGCCCGGCCAGGCTCTAAGAAAGCCACAGCTCAGCGCCACAGGTCCTGGTCTCCGGTGTGTGTCCCCCTTCCGAGTCAGCGGAGGTTTGGGGTTCATCCACGACCTCATGGGATGTCTTTCCCAGCTCACACCAGCTCCTGAACCCCTTTACTTCCAGTGTCTCTGTCCACACCTGACCCCGTGTCGATGTTCTTATAAAATGCTGTCACTGAATTCCATACTACATATCTTACGTCTCTTTTCTTTTCTTTTCTTTTTTGCCTCATTTTCTTTTGGTCTTATTTTATAGTTTTTGTTCCTTTTTTTGTTTTTCTCACTAGCATTCATTCTGTGGCCTTGATGACTTCAGGGAGCCAAGCACTCGGGTTGGTACCCTTTCATTTGCAGATGAAAATGGCAAGTTTGTGAAAGGAGAACAGCCCTCGGGCTGGCCGCAACATTCCCTGGGCCGAGGGAGTGCGGACGCAGGCTCCCTGGCCGGGCACCCTGGGTCCCCGCGCGTTCCAGCCCCGGGGAAGGCTGGGAGAGCTCCCGTGAAGAACCCACAATGCGACCTGGTAGCCCCTCCCCCGTTGCATTTGATCTTGCAGAGGGGTTTGTGGCCTTTCCCCAAGGTTCTCTCCATGTTGGCTCTAGTTCGTGGAGTTCTCTGTTGCCACGGACCCCTAAACCCGCCGGAGGGCCACACGTGGCGGGCTCACGGGGTCAGGGGTCTGCAGGAGCGGACGGCGAGTCCACGGCCCCACGCAGAGTGCCCGGGGAGCCTGTGTGGACAGCTCCTCGCTCCCTGCCCCTCCCCCTCGCTCTGCCTTGACCCTCAGCCTAGTGTTTTTTTTTTTTAAAGATTTTTAATTGATTTTTAGAGAGAAGAAGGGAGAGGGGGAGAGAGAGAAACATCGACGCCTCCTGCACGACCCTATCAGGGATGGAGCCCACAACCTGGCATGTGCCCTGACCGGGAATCGAACCGGTGGCCTCTTGGTGCCTGGGTCGATGCTCAATCACTGAGCCACACCAGCCGGGCTTTTCTTTTCTTTTTTTTTTCACTCATTACTATTTTTTATTGTTGATGTCCCCCATTTCCCCACTTTTGCCCAGCCCCCACCACCCCTCCCCGTGCCTGTTCCGAGCTCAGGGACCTCCAGAGGGAAGCCATCAGGTAGCTGGTCCTGCTTTGATCACCGGGCCTGCGTGTCTCACCCTGAGCTCCTGTCCTGTCATCGGGCCCTTCCCCATCCCCCCTGTTCTGAGTGCCCCCCTTGGGGCTGGGGTCTGCCGGGGTCCCTGGGGTCTAGAGTCCTGCCCGTGAACCCAGCCCAGGACAAGAGCCCCATGAGCTCTGGGGATGCCTGACGTGTCCCCGAGCTCAGCTCTGATACCGTGTCCCCCCGATGCTCCTGTGGGTGCCCCGAGTGTGACCCGGCACTCAAGGTCTCTGCCTTGTAGCTTCTGCGCCCGGAGCCCAGGTCAGCGCAGTCAGTGTTCACTAGTGTCTGCGCAGCGAGCCAGGGCCTGGCCCGGGAGTCTCCAGACCGGGGCTGGGGAAGCCGGGAGGCGGTTCTGGAGGACGAGCTCCCCGAGTCCTGCTCCTCTTGCCCTGGTGCCGGGAAGGGCCCTCGGGGTTCAGACGAAGCGTTCAGGGCGGCGGTTGGGGCAGGTGGAGGGCACAGGAGCCAGGGGCTTCTCCAACCCTTGGTTTTTGCATCATATCAAATTATTTTTTCATTCTACAGGGTAGAAAAAGAGCTTATGGAATAAACTGAGTCCCTATGGCAACCCCAACCCCACTCAAATCAAAATTCAACAGCAAAACAAGCGATTCTGCGCCCTGAGGCTGGAACCAGCATTCACCTGTGACGACAGCTCGAGGGGAGGCCTCTGGGTGGACGGCTGGGCCCCGGCCTGGCCGAGCTGTGGGAGTTCTGCAGGCAGGACGAGGTCTTGCCAAGCTCAGGGCCACATCGGCACCCCCTGTGGTACCTTCATGCACCCAAGGGGCAGAGACCCGAACACCAGGAGACTAAGTGCAATTACCAGAAACTGAGCGGGGGGGGGAGCCTCGGCACCATCTGGGCCCCTGCGCCCTGCGCTCTGTGCCGCCGGCGGTGGTGCGCGTGCCCGGCTGGACAGACTGTGCATATGTCTCTGGGAACTGTGCCCTGTGTGTCCGGAATCTGTCAGCCACAGTGACCTGCAAATGCCTCCATGATCTGCACCCAGTCGAGCCCCAATCAGCACAACCCTCCAGTGGATCCTGCAGCCGATGGCCAGAGAGGCGCAGGCGGACCCCAGGGAGCCCCATGTCCATCACTCTCGTGGGTGTGACGTGGGGAATGTCCCAGAGCATGACAGCAGCTGGGACCACGTGGAGTGAGGACTGAGAAGTGGACATGGCCGCAACCCGACCACACTGGACTGTCTCCCGTCCTGGTTGTCACTTGCAAGAGGAAGAAGTGCTGGGTGTGGAAGGGTCCCTGCAGCGCCGTGGGGACTGAGGCCGTGGTCTGAGGCCAGGTCTCTCACGGCCACGGGGACGAAGGCAGCCCTCCCTGACCTCGGGAGAGCAGACCCTGAATCGGCTTCCCGGGAGGGGGGGCAGAGTGGGCAGCCGAGGAGAACAGGGCACCACCTGGTGAGAGTCACGTCCCGGAAGGAGCCCTGGAGAAATCCCTTCGGGATGTTGTTACTGTTCTTCTAGGCTGGGGGGTGGGCGGGGAGCGTTTCCGGAAGAAGGTACCGGCTCACATATCTGTCGCCTCCCAAACCTTTGGAAGGGAGACTTTCGTGATCGGAGCAGATCGAGTGAATTTGAAGGTAGTGGGTGGAAGGGCAGCAGAGCCACATCTGTGTCGGAAGAAGCAGCTGCAGGCAAGGATGGCTTGATCCCGAGGACAGGAGGTCACTGCTGTGTCCTGTGGGCTGTAAGGGCAACCCTGGGATACCTTTGGAGAAAACGAAAATGACTGAAGTTCAGGCCTCTGGAGGAATCAGCGGGGAAGGGAACCCAATGGAAGAGCTGAACATTCTCAGAAGAGCAAACCCAAGGATGGAGAAGGACCTGGTGATCGGCACGGAAGGGGCATCTCAGTCAGATGGGGGGTGGGGGGTGTTCAGACCAAATCAAAGGCCTGGGGGCTCTGAGCAAACGCACCAGGACAGCGGAGAAGTGACCATTCTCGTTTGAAATCTAAACCCAAAGCCCGTGCTACACCAGCCCCGGTGACACACCAGTACCAATGACCAAATGTGAATGAACTGATGTCTTTGCTGGAAAAGACAGGCACCCGAGCCCGCAGGTGGGGAGGGAGCGTGGGACCACGCGGCAGTGACGGTCACGGAGCCCGTCTGCTTGTCTGGGGCCAGGGAGGCGCAGAGAATCTGCTTTGCTGGCTTAGCAGGCAGACGTCCAGGAGGCTCGCCCGGGTCAGGGAAGCGGTTTCCATGGCACCGGGTGTCCATCCTCCTCCCGCTGCGGAAAGTGTGGGAGTGTGGTCCCCGTGCCCTCCGGTGTCCATCCTGCTGTCTGCTCGCCTCCCACTTAGACAACAGGGCTGGAAGGGCGTGGACTTTAAAGTCAAAACCATTGGGTCCACTCCTACCCGACCACCTCCCTGCAGCGGACACTGGCAAAGTACTTGCGACTCTGGGTCTCAATTTCTTCAGCTGTGGGGTGCGGTGATGGTTGCCATGCAGAGCCTCTAAGAGGGTTTCTTGGGCACAACTGGACAGACCACAGGTCTCCGACCCCTGGCAGGAGACGCAGCAGGTGCACCCGTGCTCCCTCGGCGGGGGGTGCCCTCACAGCACATACAGCCCACAGGGACCAGGAGCCATCCCCTGAGACACCTCAGGTGTGGGAGTGAGGCTCACTCAGGCAGGTACGGGAGCTGCCCTGGCTCAGACCAAAGTCCCCACGAGAAGCCACATTTCTGTTACAGTCCCTGACATCGCTTCCAAGGTCCCCTGCCAGGGGCAGGCCCGGTGCCAAGCGCCGTTCTTCTCAGGGAACCTCAGAGCGCTGGCAGCCACAGCCCTCGGTGCCCAGCGCGGTGCAGTCCTCGGGTCGTGGGGGTGATGGTTGCCTAGTAATGCAGCCACACCTCTGTGTGGTTTCCAGGGAGCAGAGCTACCAGGTCGGCTGAAGCCAAGGTCACGTTCTCGTGCAGAAAGGAGAAGGGATGGGTCCACCTTCCAGCACCAGCCTCCTCGCAGATCTGCTGGAGGATGAGGGCGCCCTGCCGGGCTCCTGGCACAGGGCTGGCCACACGGTGCCGCTTCGGCACGTGGGGTGGGCTCCCGCTCTGCACCTGATGCCTCGCTCCTCTGCAGGCCAGCGCCACCGGAGACAAGCCGGGCAGAGAAGGTCAGGGGTCCGCTGTCCTGCGGCGGGACACTGCGTCTTAGCCGAGCTAACACCTTTTGAAGCGAATTCATGGTCTCCCGTCCTGCTGTCCTGCAGGCTGAGGGCCTCAGGGTCTGTGGCTCCTGCTTCTCCCCCCTCTTCCGTGGCCAATGTGTCTCCTGCAGGAATCCCACCTGACACCCCAGTACCACGTGGCCTGCTTCCCTTTGTTTATTTTTCTCACTTAGCCAGAACCTGCTAGAAGCCTACCAAAGAGAGGCCAACCAGGCAATGGGTCCTCCTTCTGGAAGTTGTCCAAAAACACAGGGGTCTCCGCAGACCCCAGACTATGCACCCCACTCCAGCTCTGTGGCAGGGTGTGGCTGCAGCCCCTCCCTCTGGCCACCCTCTCTGGGGTTGTCACATTTCAGATGACCACCCTCAGCCTTGGGGAACCTCGCCAGGGCTCCTTGGGGTGCAGGGCCTGTCCTTACAGCCGCCCCATGGTGATGCCCCCCAGGTCTCCACCCCTGAGAAGCCCACGGGGATTGGTTGATAATCCAGGGCTTCCCTCAAACCCAGAGGGTTCATCAGTGAACCGTGAAGTCTTCGTTACTTATCTGAGAAGAGCCTGCAACAGGCTTCCCGGGCTGAGCTCGGGGGCTCCTGCCTTTACCTATGCAGGGGTGGGGGTTCGGCTGCCCTCAGGCCTGCGCTCCCCTAAGAAAGAGCGAGAATGGCCTCTCCTTCCTCCAGGGCACCTTTCAACCACTGCCCTGGCGCAGTCAGCGTCAGCCACGCCTGCTCCAGAAGGCCCTCGGGGCGCGTGTCCTCACCTCTCAAGTTCTGGAGTCAGACTCAGATTTGAATCCTGCCCCTGCCCCTTCCCATCTGTGGGCCTGGACAGCCTTCCCCACCTCCCGGAGCCTCCGCCTCATCCTGTGTCAGAGGAGATGAGAGCGCCCACCTCCGAGGGTCACCGGAGGAGCCGGACCAGGCCAGGCGAGCCGCCTCGCGGAGTCTGGGTCCTTGGTCGCTGTTTGCTGCCCTCGGCGGGCAGACACGAACCTCCTTCATCGCGGTGTCCGCTGCAGCTTGGCTACTGAGACCCTGCGACACTGACGGTCCCGCCCGGAAACCCGATTTTCACCCTCATATGCGACACTGAGCATTTCACTCCAAGTGGCTTTGCAGCGGCGTCTCCTTGCGCTGGGTGAGTTCTGGCAAGCCGGCTTGGAAACAGAGGCTTTCATCCATATTGCATGACGTTCGTGCCGATGAAACCCAAGTCCCCGCTCATAAATAATCCACCTGTTCTTGCCTCCTCCAGGGACATTTTCCTGCACAATCTGAAGGCGCTGCACCCACGTCGGAATCTCCAGGGTCAGTGTTGCACGTTCACCTCGTTGCATCACGTCTTGACCCATGAGCTATGCCGGGATGGAGCCAACAGCTCAAGGACACTCTGAGAAAACGTTCAGCTACGTGGTCAGAGCCCCCAGCAGCGACGGGTTTGATGTAATGAACGTGGACGTGAAGATAGACACGTCCTGGGTGTTCCAGGACGTAGACGACAGCGGTGAGGAGCAGGCACATGTCCCGGGAGCAGCAGGCAGAAGGAGCCCGGACATGGATGCGGGGACGCTTGGGCGGCAGCTGGAGTCCTCCGAGCAGAAGCTGTTGGCAGCTGTGGACAAATACGTGATGTCCGAGTCCGGGCTCAGGAGCAGGTAAATGCGCCACATGAGCTGTCCTCCGTGTGTCTCCTGAATCCTGGGGCATCAGAACCCTGTTGGGTGGGGTGTGGAGCCGCCCTAGTGGCCGAGCAGGCAGGCTCACCATGGCACACAGCCTGCGGGCCACATTCCTGGCTCTCAGTTCCTCCTCTCTCTTTCCCGTCCCCTGCTCTGTGACATGGGCCCTGAGCCTGCAGAGAGGTCTCCCAGGCTGGCTGGCTTCCATCAGGACCCAGCCAATGGGAACATCGAAGGGAGGGGGGAGGAGAAGCCAGGGTGTTTCCCCCTCTCGTCTGCGCTGGGTGACATTTCTGGCTGTGGCTACAACTCAGGCACGTCCCTGGCTTCCTCTGTGGTCCTGCTCCTGCTGGTGGCCCGTGGCCCCGGGGCCCCAGGATCACCGTGTGCTCCCTGAGGGTCCCTCCAGCCCAGGGACAGACGTGGCTCTCGGCAGCTGCTCACCCCTGGGCTGCCCGCCTGGTCCTTTAGCTCACCCACCACCCGTGTTTCAGACTCTGTTTGTTTCTCGCTGCTGCATTGGAAGTCCCTGGTGTGGGCTGTCTTCCTGGTGGAGACAACAAGGTCCACAGGCCGGGCGTTCGAATCCAGGCCTTTCCCCAAAGCCCATGCTCCTTCCGGATGGTTTTTGATGCCGGGACCAGCAGAAGGAGGGGGCTTTGCCTTTAAATCGGAGCAGAAGCCCCGGGCGGAAACGCAGTCCGGTTGTTGCTGGGACCGATCCTGACAGGTGCCACGGTCCCAGCGGCCAGTGTCCTGGATTTGCCTGGGACTTTGCCATTTTCTTGTATTTCCCTTCGTTTTAATAAAGGCAAAGTCATTGAACGTGTATTTACATGCGCTTTACTTGTTTCCTCTTCGTAATACTTTCCACATGAAGACATCCAAATATCAGACAAGTTATTTTGTTACTCTGTGTATCACTCGGTGTGATTGTCCGCCCGTCCATCCTGCCCTCTCTCCACCATCCATCCATCCTCCCCCACTCGTTCTACAACCTGCACTCACTCCCCGGGAGTCCGGCACTAAGTCCTATCAGTTTTCGGTGAGAAACAAGATCAAGCTTCATGGTTGGAGCAGCCTGAACTGTAGGTGTTCGTTTGCTCGTAGCCTGCAAGTCGAAGACCCAGGTGTGGGCAGGTTGGCTGCTCCCGAGGCCTCTCTCCTTGGCATGTAGGTGGCTGTCCTGTCCTGTGTCCTCACGTGGTCGCCCCTCTGAGTGTGACTGGGCCCTCTTCTCTTCTTACAAGGGCACCCGGCGGATTGGATTAGCACCCACCCAAGTGACCACATTGTAACTTAATTACCTTTATAAAGACCCCATGTCCAAATACAGTCATATTCTGAGGCCTGGGGTTAGGACTTCAACGTACGGATTTGAGGGGATACATTCACCCCGTCATGTAAGTCCTGGGGGCTGAGGGCTGGAAGGCAGGGCCCGGCCCTGGAGACAGTAGTCATGGGGACCACACACGGTTGTGCATTCGAATCCTCCTCCCGGGCGATCAGCAGAGAAAACCAGATCAGTAGGTCTGGGGGCGATGGTGGGACCCCTGGCCATAGGAGACCCCTCCATGTGAGGGAGAGACAGACTGGGGCCCCGTAAGTGATGGCGAGGAGGCCTCTGTGGCGGGGGCGGGACCATCCCGGAGCTGCCCAGGGGGAAATGCGGGCTGTGTCCTCTGTTCTCTGAGGGTGGGATGCACCCCGCCGTGGGGGAGCTGGGACTCGAACCCGGGCAGCCTGTCCAGAATGGCAGCCGTGAGGGACGGCTCATCCGGCTCCCCGAGGGCGTCTCCCAGCTCCCAGCGCTGCTCCCAGCCCTGCGTGCTGCACGTGAGCTCGTCACTCGTCGGCGAAGAGCTGCACTCCGTGTCCATTCTGTGTCGGGGAGGGAGCTGGTCTCCTGTGGCCGCCGGAGCACGTGACCGCCAACGGCGGCTTGAGCAGCAGGCGCTCCCAGCCCTGCAGGTCTGGGGCAGGGTCCACGGCCGCCTCCCTGCTCAAGTCGGGGTGGGCCGGCTGTGCTCCCCAGAGGCGGCAGGGGACTGTCCTGGCCTTGCTGACTCAGAGCTGTAGTCCTTGCACAGTCTCCGCCGGCCGTGCCCACAGCCTGGCCTCTAGCCTGGCCTCTGCCGGCCGTGCCCGCAGCCCGGCCTCTAGCCTGGCCTCTGCCGGCCGTGCCCGCAGCCCGGCCTCTAGCCTGGCCTCTGCCAGCCGTGCCCGCAGCCCGGCCTCTTGCAGGGTCTCTGCCGGCCGTGCCCGCAGCCTGGCCTCTAGCCTGGCCTCTGCCGGCCGTGCCCGCAGCCCGGCCTCATGCACGGTCTCCGCCGGCCGTGCCCGCAGCCCGGCCTCTTGCACGGTCTCCGCCGGCCGTGCCCGCAGCCGGGCCTCATGCACTGTCTCCACCGGCCGTGCCCGCAGCCCGGCCTCATGCACTGTCTCCACCGGCCGTGCCCGCAGCCCGGCCTCTAGCCTGGCCTCCGCCGGCCGTGCCCGCAGCCCGGCCTCTAGCCTGGCCTCCGCCGGCCGTGCCCGCAGCCCGGCCTCTAGCCTGGCCTCCGCCGGCCGTGCCCGCAGCCCGGCCTCTAGCCTGGCCTCTGCCGGCCGTGCCCGCAGCCCGGCCTCTAGCCTGGCCTCCGCCGGCCGTGCCCGCAGCCCGGCCTCTAGCCTGGCCTCCGCCGGCCGTGCCCGCAGCCCGGCCTCTAGCCTGGCCTCCGCCGGCCGTGCCCGCAGCCTGGCCTCTTGCACAGTCTCCGCCGGCCGCGCCCGCAGCCCGGCCTCTAGCTTGACCTTCACCTTCTGTGTCAATTCTGTCTGCCTCCCTCCTAGGAGGACGACTGGACTGCCATTCGCGTCCACCCAGATAGTCCAGGATAATCTCAAGGTCTTTAACTCAGTCACACCTACAGTCTCGCTTGCATTTCAGAGTTCAGGGGTTGGGGCCGGGATATCTGGGGGCCGTGACTCAGCTTGCCCACAGCTAGACTAGTTACTTTCTACTTACAGTGTAGGGATAACATCAGAATGAAACACTCATATTTAATGTTTCCGGTTGGTCTCAGAAACTAAAGCGAGGCTCTTCTTGTCCCACTTAGATTCCACCCCTTTTTATCACCCATGAGCCTGGGGCCACTCCTGCGGTTCAGTGTGGAAGGGACCCGATTACAACCCACACCCCCTCTGTCACCTTTGAGGCTCCCCCGGGACGAGTGTAGGAGACGAGACTCGGGCCCTATTGTTGACATAACGCATCCTTTCACTTACTCTTCGCAACCACCTTCTGAGCAAGGTGCGATGACCGCCGTGCTTCGGATAGGGACGCCGAGGGTCCTAGTGGTGGATGAGTCCGGTGCAGGCTCCGTGGCCGGTGAGTGGCAGAGCCAGGTCCGCACGGGGGCAGCGGCGCTGTCCCGGGCGAGCGGGCGCCCCGCGAGGACGTGGGTAGAGGAGCGATGGCGGGCAGAACGTGTCCGTGCGGGCCGTGAACGCACGTTCCGTTCTCCTGGTTTCCGTTAGAGGTAAGGCTGGCACTTTAAGGAGACTGGGATGCCAGGTGCACTCAGGTGACGGACGAGTCTTTGAGGGTCCTTCTCTCTCGACGGGACCCGTAGCCAGAGCTTCGTCGCGGGCTTCTCCTTCCCGCGTGGCTGTGGCCAGGGCTCTCGTCCCGTCTGGCTGTGACTTTGCGTGCGACACAGCCTCGGTTTCCCGGGGTAATAAAAAAGACTCCGTGGGGCTCTGCTGTCCTGCTAGACAATTAGGCCATCTGCAAGGTCTTACTTTTGGTAAGTAATACACATGAATTATTTTAATCACAGCAGCTTTTTTCCTGGATTTCAATCACTTCTTCAGAAGAGAGTCGTGGGAATGTGCCTCAGATGGGAGGCGACAAAGCACAGGGTTCAAAGTGTGAGTTTGGGGATCAGACAGCCTGGGCTCGATAATGCTGTGTGACCTTGGGCAAGTTGCCTAGCCTCTCTGATCCTCAGTTTCCTCCTGTGTGAAGAAGAGGTAATGGAACCCACCCGCGGGCTGGTGACATGAAGATTCATTGAGACAATGACGTGTTGGCTTCGGGCTCAGTCCCGAATCCGTGTCACCCAGACTTGGGATCACTGGTCTGGAGATGAGGATGCTGTTAAGATTTCTGAGGCGTGGTGTCTTCCTAGTCAAAAGAGGTCTTTGAAGTATTATAGATCATCCCCAGAAAAATACATGTGCATGTTCTACAAAGCGTAATTTGTCAGAATATTAAATTGGCCAGGTCACAACAACGACAGAAAGGTTGCCGGTGTGTGAACACCTGGCCCTGTTTGGCGTGTTCCTGGGCACTAAGCACCGCCCTGCTCCCCCTGCAGGACCCAGGAGCTGGAGCTGTCGGAGCGGAAGCTCCTGCGGAAGGTGGACCAGCTGAGGGCCCGCGTGTGCCAGGAAAGGAGCACCTCTCTCCGGGCCCAGGAGCAGCTGGAGGCGCTGCAGGGGGAGCTCGCCAGCCAGGTACGGGCCTCCTTCCTGCAGCTCTGCCTTCTCTCCCCCAGTCGCCCCTGCGTTTGGATGTGCCGCAGCTGCAGCTGAGCAGAGACAGTGGGGCGGGGCGGGCCGGGAGAGCCCCGAGGGGCCTGGGGTGAGGTCCCATTGCCGCTCTGGGCCTCAGCTGCCCCATCTGTAAAGTGGGATCCCCTGCCTGCCCTGCCTGCCTCCCAGGCTCCCGCTGGGGAGTGTGAGCACACGGTGGGACTGCGCACTGGCTGGGAGCTCTGGCCAGAGGTTCGTTTCTGCGACCTCCGTGCCTGATGTTGGGGGAGCCGGCTCTGTCTGAGGATGGGGAGATGACTGGCCAGGGTCACCACCTCAGGGGCAGGGGTGCAGGTGGGGACACAGAGAGGACACAAGGAACTCCAAACTGGACGCTGGTGTCGCGGGGTACGGCCCGGGTGCGTGTGCATGGGTGGGGGAGCCCCAGAGAGCTGGACCGTGAGAGGGAGGCCCTGCAGGAAGGGTGTGTGGGGCGTGGGTACGGTCTGTGGGAACACCAGGACCGGGCAGGGGTGTGGGTGGGGGGAGGGCTGGGTGAGACTGGAGGGTTTCAGAGGGGCCGGGCTGCCAGGGCCACGGCACGAACTAAATTCCGAAGGCAGCAGGGAGCAGGCTTCCAGGGTCTTTAGCAGGAGGGGCTCAGGGTCAGCGTTTGGGGGATGTCCTTCCAGTTGTATGGGAGAGAGGGAGGGTGAGCGTGGGGGAGGGGGGCAAGTTAGTGCTGTTGGAGAAAGGGGCAGGCTCTGGAGGCAGATGGCTGTGTGACCTAGGGCAAGTGACTGAACCTCTCTGGGCCTCAGTTTTCTCATCTGTGAAATGGGAGTGATATAGTACCAAGGCCTTCCAGTTGTTATGCGGGTTAAGTGAGTAAATACGTGTAAAACACTGATAACAGTAAGCACTGGAGTAACCCTGCCGCTTTTGTGATCATTAGTGTTTACGGAAATATTCCGGGGAGAGATGATGCAGGCCGGAGGGCGGGACGCGTGTAGGAAACTGCAGAGGCAGGAACGACAGGACTCGGAGGGTAGCCGAGGCAGCGCCCAGAGAGCCCCCGGCCGTCCTGTCCACGCGGACTGTGACTTGCAGGGCAGCAGTGACTGTCCGAGTGCAGGTTGGCATCTGTCAGTGGGTCGTGACGTCAATTCTGAGTCACTAGGAAATAAGAAGGGGCCCCCATGTCGTGGGAGCAGTCAGGACACCCCCAAGAATGCTGGTTAGCCAGTGCCGAGACGGGTCGCGTGGACAGAGAAGGTGTTCGTTAGGTTGGAATGAGTCTTCGAGGTCCCAGGGAAACACGAAACGGCAGCTTCCCCTTTGTACTGAACTCCGGGCGCAGAAAGTCTAGTTCATCCCCCGTCTCGGCTTACAGCATGTCACCACCGGCGTCCCCAGGGGCGGTTTTAATACGAGAGGTGGCAGTGGGTGGGATACCACCACCAAGAAGCCTCCGTGGAAAGTACATTAATGCGCATTTTGAGCCTTGCTCAAGGACACGTAGGATTTCCAAGGTGAACCGACAAGCCCTGTCGTTGTGAGATGTCCACAGTGTGGCGGGGAGACGGAGGACCGGGGTGACTGAAAGGGATGCTGTGGGGCGCAGAGGTGCCACGAATCAGGTTCTGCGGACTGAGCCCCTCCCCACACGGCGCTGTGCTCAGGAAACCCGTTCCAGCCGAGAGCTCAGAGTGATGAGGGGGCCTGCTCAGGTCCTAGGGACCCCTGGCCCAGTTGCCACCCAGCCCAAACCTCCGAACCTCTGACTCTCTCCCAGAGAGACGTGCATTTCCGAGCAGGGGTGGCCAGCTTGCTCTGCCCCGTGTGATTCTGGCCGAAGGGCACTGTGCCCGCGCTCGGTGTCCCCTAAGCCTGAGCTCAGCCTCACTTCCCCAGTGACCTCTCTGCACATCCACAGAGACACACCTCAGGGGTCCGATGACAGTGTTCACACTACGGGGCGAACCCAGATTTTCCTGGTGGGGAATTTGTCTCCAGGTATATCTGCCCCACATCTGCCTGCCCCGAGGTCAGACGGAGCCTGGGAACCTGCTCCGCGGCCCCTTTTCCGCGGTGGCCCTTCGCTGTTCGTTGGTCTTCCGAGCACTCCCGCGAGGAGCCAGGCGCCCGCTGAGAGAGTTCAGGTCCTCTGCGGGCCTAAAGGAACCCTGAAAATTGGGCAAGGATTCCTCTGTCCGGCCCACAGCTCACGGGTGGGGGAGGGCAAGGTGTAAGAACAGGGAGAGTGAACTCCTGACCTTGAGCGAAGGCCTTGAATCAGATACAAGGAGGTTCGGATCCTGGCTGCAGTGACCTGTAGCGGCCTGACATCACGCGTCATTTCTGAGTGTCCCGAGGGACAGCAGAAGCACCTTACTCCACGTGGGTGTTCACCATAGTGGCAGCTGCTGTGAGCCACACAGGGCCAGCTGAGCCTGCTGGGCCAGCATTGACCCTTTAGGCACTGGGACATGGAGAGGTCTGGGAGGTCCTGGGGCGGACCCGCAGGGGTTCTGCAGGTGGCTCCTTACAGACTGGTATGGGCATTCAGTGGACTGCTGTGGAGACACTGGAGAGCCCTTGGCTGTGCACCAGCTGAGCCCGTCCTGCCCCCTGTGTTCCTTCCAAGGACTCAGGGAGCCCCTGGGTGAGCCGCCCAGGAGGGGGAGGGGAAGCACTGGCTTCTGAGAAAATGTAAGGGGCGCCAGGAAACCGGTCATCGAGACATACTATTTGCTGCAATACGTTACTGCAAAAATATCCCATGACGAACAAAACACCAAAATTTGAAGTAGGCTCGGTGTGAGGCACAGGGGGCCTGGGCCTGCTTCCTGACGCCTCATCCACCGCCAACCTGTAGGTTCTGGAAAAGGAGCGCGCGGCCCGGCGGCAGCGGTGGCGGCTGCAGCGGCTGCGGGAGCAGCTGCGGCACAAGGACGAGGCCCTGGGGCAGCAGACGGCGGCCCTGGAGCGCGTCCGGCGGACCCAGCGGCGCGAGCTGGGCCTGGTGCGTGAGCAGGAGCGGGTCCTGCGGGCGCAGGTGCAGCGGCTGGAGCGGGATGTGCGGCGCCTCTGCCGCGCCGCGGGTCTCCTGCTGGCCGAGCTGGACGCCCCGACCCGGGGCAGCCCCCGATTCCCGGGCCCTGCCGGACCCCAGGGCGCCCCCGTGGAGGCCGCGGAGGTGCGCGCCCTGCGAGAGAGAGCCGAGCGCGCGGAGCGCGAGCGGGACGAGGCGGCGCGCCGGTTGCGGGAGCATCGCGCCGCCCAGCGCCAGCTCCGCGTGCAGCTGGAGGAGCTTCGCTGCTGGATCTACGAGCTGAAGCTGTCGGAGATCAGCCTACAGAGCCGGGTGGAGGACCTCGCCGAGCAAAACCGGAGCCTGCGAGAGGGGCTGGCAGCCCAGGCCCCGGGGGAGAGGGTGCGCGGCACAGCCCCTGCCGGTCCCTGTTGCCCGGTAAGTGGCGGCACCCCGGGGCAGGAGTGATCCTCTCCTCTTACTTTCTCCTAGGGCCACTTGGTTAGGTCACTGGCTCCCCATTCTGTAGTCTTCCTCGTCATCCACCCGTCCAACCAACCAGCCCCGTCCAGGCATCCTTCATTAGGTGTTGTCACCTACCCACCCAAGTACACAGCCGGACCTCCTCATCCACCCACCCGCCCATCCACGTCTGCCGACTCCATCATCTCTCCCCTACCATCTGCTTCCAACCACTCTCCAGGCGGCCAACTGGCCACCCTGTATCCCCCACTGCCGGTTCCCTGCTGTCCGCCCATCCATATCCAACAGTGGATGAGTCCCTGGTGTGTGCCAGGCCCTGGGCTAGGTGAGCACCTGGGTGGGTGGTATATGCAACTCTGTGCTGTGCGCCTCTCCTGAGCTGCCCCCCCTAGGAAAGCAGGCGCCCCGTTTCGACCTCCCTCACAGCCCCACCGGTGGTGCTGGTCCCTGCATGGTGTGTCCGTGGTCCTTCCTCCTTCGGGAGACTGTGAGCTCCCGGGGGCAGGCCCAGGTCTGGGGGGCCGTAGCTCCGCCCAGCGCACGCACTGGAGCCCACCAGGGTTGCTCCATAGGAAACACGGGCCTGGGCCTTCTGGTTCTCCTCGTGACTGGCTGTGTGACCTTGGGCATGTTTCTGAGGCTCTGGAAGCTAGAGCAGAGGCCACTTATCTATTCGTTTGACTGACGGAAAGGTAAAAACTTACACGAAATACATTCCTGTGTTTGGCACCCTTCCGGATGTTTCAAAGGTGTTATTTCATTTAATGCGTACGAAGACTGTCAGGCAGGTGTTATTAGTATCCTTATCACTCCCATAAGGGGCTGAGGCTCTGAGAGGTAGTGCAGGGGCCTGGGGTCCCACAGTGGTACGAGGCAGAACTGGAATTCGGCCCAAATGTGTGAGTCCAGAGTGCTTTGTTTCTTCTGCACACCCCGGCCTCCCCGAAAAGAGAGCTAGTTCAGCTCCCTCCAAGGGCTCGCCCTCCCCGCTTCTCTCCACTGGGTCAATTTACATTTTAGGAAAAATCAGGTGCTCAAGCGACATTGCTCATTTAAAAAAGGAATCCAATGTATGATCAGACTGGACAGTCTACCTCAGATGAGCTGGAGCTTGAGACACCGCGTTTCTCGGCCTGACGACCGTACCCGCCGAGACTGTTTGCACAGTGAATTCTCTGTATCTCGTTTGCTCTTTTCACTGCCCCTGTGTCCTGGATAGAAGGAAAACTGTACGTTTAACATCGGCACCTTAGACTTTGGAAAATAAATCGTGTGTAGATGGAACCAGCCATTTAGAATCCTTCCTGTCATTTTCCTAAGCGCAAGACTTTCATTGAGGCCGTTGGTTTGAGTCCTTATTCTCCCAATCTACCTCCCACACACCGCGACTCACTTTCGTTTATCTAAGAGACAGATGAATACCTAAATATTTAAGAGACTCCTGCGAACATTTTGGACATTCTGTGTTCCCATCGAATCCTTGGAACAGCCTGTGAGCCAGGTGCTGTTACCCCACCGGATAGATGGGGAAACTGAGGCCTGGGATGGTACGTGACTTGGCCACAGGCGCCCAGCGACCCAGTGTCAGGGTCAGCCAGGGGACATGGGCCAGATCAGAGCCGTGGCTCCAGGCTGCTGCCCTTACGGCGAGATGCCGGGGCCAGAGCTGGCTCCGCAGGAGTGTGGGCAGCCTGGTGGCCGATTCGGTGCTGAGTGACATCGGCCTACAAGCCCCTTGTCTAAGTGCACCTGTGACCTTCCCGTGCCCCAGGCTCATGCTCTCGAGGCTTTGCTGGAGGCTGCTGTGCAGCCAAGATTCTCTTAAAATTCCCTAGGTGGCCCGCAAAGTGCGGTCCCGGCCGGTCCGCCTCCAGCGTCGGGGGGGAGCCGGGCCCTTGTCAGCCGGAGCAGGGGGGCCGCAGAGGCCGCTGTGCACGGACCACGAGGTAGAAAATGCGAACCTTAAATGTTGTAGCCACGCACAGTGGGGTGAGCCGTGTGCAGTGCGAGGGGGCATCCCCAAGGGGGGGGCGGGGCAGCGGCGATTCCCGTGCGGGCCTGCCTCCTAGAGGCGTGGTACCTTCGGGCAATCTGTGCCTCAGTTTCCCAGGTGTGAAGTGGAAATGGAGCTGGAAACTGCCTCCTTGTCGGACTGTGAGGATGAGTGACAGGTTCAGGGACGGCTGTCAGTGCTGTGCCTGGTGCATCCTGAGTGGGCAGCCAGACTCGGCTTCTGTCGCCCTCTCTGTCCTCATCCTCATCTTCGCCTGCGTGGTCCAGGGGGGAGTTGGGTGGCCTCCCCCATACTGTTCACATGCTATTTTGCCTTTCCTCTCCTCCTTTTATTTGACCCCTGACTGGGGAAGGTTAAATATGACTGATGTGTCCCTGCTGATCGGCGGGACCCGCTGGTGGGAGCACAGACTGACAGCCCGGAGTGCATGGGCCTGTGGTGGCCCGAGGGGACTGGGAGCATTGCAGCGGTCTTCTGGGAAGGGCGGTCCCCGGCGTGGCTCTGCTGGCCGAGGGGCTCAGCCTGCCTCGTTGCAGGTCAGCCTGCAGGGGCGGTTGAGGTGGGCACGGCCCAGCCTGCCCCAGGAGGACCTCATCTTGATTTCTATCTGCACGACCCTGTTTCCAGGAAAGGTCAGTCCCAGGTCCTGGCGACGGGGCAGTGCGGGCTCGAACATCTTTTCATGAGCTGCAATCAGCCCACAGCATGCGGCTGCACGGCCGGTGATGGCTATGGTCTCACCCCCTCTGCCTCCACCTGCGTCAGGTGGCAGTTCCTGCTCTGGCCTCCAGGGCACCTGGGCTTCCTCAGGCTGCTTCAGTGTCACCCCCGAAACACCCAGGTGCAGGGAGGACGGCATGGCAACGAGGCATTGAAAACACTTCTGGACCTGTGTCGCCCCCTGGTGGACGCCTCTGCCTTGTGTGAAGCAGCCTGTGTTATTCTCCCTCCCTCAGCTAACAAGCTGTGAACCTCCCCTCCCTGCCCCCGCCCCCCCAATGCAGGCGGGAAGGCCCGGTCTCTCTATTTCCTGTTGCATCTCCGGCTCGAGCACAGTGCTGGGCGCGTGAAGGAGCTCGGTAAATGTTCACCACGTGCGAGGAGGGTGGGAGGTAGCTGGTCCTCGACTGTTGGAGCCCGGTGGAAGGGCCCATCGTGACCCCGTGAACTCGGGAGGTCCCTGAGCCCCTGCGGATTTCTGCTGGACGATGGAGTAGGAGCAGCTGCTATGGACCAAGGGGGGCAGAGTGAAGAGCCCACGAGAACGGGAATGCCAAGCCCTTTGAATATGGAACAAATGTCAAGCAACATTTTCCGCATAAATTATTCCTGGGCCGGCACCAGACTCCGGCTTCTGCGCCCTAACGGCGGCCTGTGCAAAGCCAGGAGGGGTTCCGTGAGCAAGGACTCGCTCAGGCCAGTGCACCTGTCCGCCTGGGCCCATTCCTCCCGTCCGCTCCCACGGGGGCCGGCTCTCCTCCCCCTGAGGACAACCCTTCAAGGGGTCTCGCCCCAAGGTAACCAGCTTCTTCCGATGGAGACAGGTAGGACCCAAGGTCCCCCTACCCGGCGGGGTCTGCAGCTGGGCCCTGCCCTTGGGAGACCTGGGAGCTTTGCAAGTCTTTTCATTTCATAGTGTCCATGTCCTCGTAGGTCAGACAGGGCCTGCAGGGCCGCTGCTCCCTGGGGCTGCCGTAACCGAGGGTTGGTGACCGTGGTCTAAACCACAGCTCCGGAGCTTGGCGCCCCAGAGGCGTCGACAGGGCTGGTGCCCTCCGAGCCCCGTGAGGTTGTCCTGCTCCAGGCCTGGGCTGTGGGTGGCGGTCGTCTCCCTGTGTGGGCTCAAATGGCCCCTTTTCACAGGGTTACCGGTCACACTGGGGTGGGGCTCACTGGGGTGACCTTGTCTTAACTAATTACATCAGCAGTGACCCTATTTCCAAATCAGGTCATCTTCTGAGTTCTGGGGGTTAGGGTTTCACCTTATGGATTTGGGGCGCCACAGATCCACCCACAACAGGCACCCCTCCAGATGGGCTGCTGCGAGGCCCCTGAAGATGGTGCTGCTGTCGGTCCCAGTTCCGTGGTGACAGGGACGCGTGCCCTGCTCCAGCGTTAGGACAGGAATGTGGGTACAGAGGATCCCTGATTATTAGGGCGTCCTCGTGCCAGGCCCTGCGGTGCCAGCTTGTGTAGCCCTCCTTCGATGGAGGCAGCTGGGCAAGGACCCAGGGCTCGCTCCTGCGGGCCGCGTGGCGGTTGAGTGCTGGGCCAGGATTGTGCCCTGGCAGGCTGACCCCGAAGCCAGGCCCGTGAAGGCCACGCTCTGCTCCTCAGTACACCCTGGCCAGTGGGTCAGCAACCAGGTCTGAGCTTGGTGCAGAGGCTGGGGAGTAAGACGAGACCCCTGCCCACACGGGATGACAAGACCACCTGGGTAAAGGGGGTGGGGGCAGAGGAAGGGGCCTGACAGTCTGCGGGTGGCTGCCGGGGACCTGGTGTCCGCCAGGCTCCGTCCTGCTCTCAGAGAGCACGGCCAGCCTTGCCTGAGGGTGTCTCAGCACCACCAAGGCCACCTTGACTGCAGCAGCCCCTTGGAGAGGGCCCGCCAGTGCCCAGCTCAGAGGGGAGGGTAGCCTGCAATTTTAAACGTGAAACACTAGAACCTGTTGATACCGAAACCGCAGAGGCAGACGTTGCCCTCGGGGTCTTGGTCTGGAATGTGCCAGAATTGGTCTGGAATGCCGTGGCCGTGGCTGTGGTCGTGGCCATGCACCTGTGAAATCGTGCTTGGAGTCTGAGGGCAGGGCGTGTGCGTGATTCCAAAGCCGCCGTTTCCAAAGGGGCCGGGACCGGGGGCTTCAGAGCCCCGGGCACGTCGTCAGCGCCTTTCTCTGAATAACTGTGACCTCCCTTCATGCACCGCTGGCCCTTGTCGCCT